CAGAGCATGTTTCAAAGGGTTAAATTGTTCTTCTCGGAAAATTGCAAATGTCTTTCTTACTTGAACTTATGGGTCTTATCAAGGATGATACCGAAACTAACGGAACCGGCCATGCCGGTCAGAATGATAGCTAAGCCAATTCTGCCAGCATCTTCTTCTCCATTCTAAAACAAGCACATATCTTGATTTTAGACATAGACATAGTGTGTAAAAAAATATACGAAAATCTCTTCAGATGTTGTTGACGTTTCATATATTTGCCCGAAACTCCTCCCTTTTTGTTTGATCTGCTGCATCGAGAGTCACTGGCTCACCTCGAAGTGTGCGAGGAATATCTGATTGAGTAATGTGCCCACGGCATTCAGCACGCCGACGTTCAAACCATAGGAATTACAGAGCATGATGAAGTTTTTATTTTTGCTCAGCCTTTTAATCGGCGCCACGAATTCCTCGCTTTTCTTTGTCCGGCTCATTTTTTGCAGTGCCCTCGTCTCGCTCGGCGGCAGTTTCGGTTCGTTCTGAAATACTGACGCGAAAGCACATTGAGAAGATTAAAACGCGATAATCTTTCCTGGGACGCGAGCGATCTTTAATTAATTAACGGTTTATCCTCTTGCGGTTGGATAAGATAAATAAAAATCAACCTGGATAAAAAGACCGAGATTAAAGTGGATTATCGGCTGTATTGGAAAATTTAGTTATGTTGAAAATTTGATAGCTGTATTGAAGGATAGCTCCCTTTAATTAATATCTATTAAAGGATTACCACGGCTTGACGGATATCAATAATGATCGTTTTAAAGCGACAATCAGTTCTCAAAGTTTATCGAAGTCAATACGTCGCATATAAACAAAGATACAAATTTTATATTAATTAATACGCGCAATACAAATTTCATTTTAATTATTTACTATTTTACTAAGTTTAAAAATGAAATCCTTTCACACTTGAGAGAGATTATGAAGAGAAATATTTTTTACACCAAGATCGAGTTTCTTTCACATCACAGCAGAGAAGAATTAGATACTTTATATGATTGGTAAACTATTATTCGTATATGTAACAGATTATAAACTTACATATAAGTACTAGAGCGAATGCAATAGTGCCGACGATTGCAACAATCCGGCATAAACGTGACAAATCTTTGCCGATATCATCCAGATTCTCGTGGTTTTTCACTATCATAGGCCCTAAGAGAAAACCCAACGACACTCCTAATTGATTGCCGAAAATGCCTAAAGACGTGGCCGTCGAGTGTTCGGTAGAAGGAAACCATTGCGCGGCCACGCGTCCTGGTAATGGCAGCAGCATAGTCTAATGTAAAATAAAATAATTACTGTTCTCCCAAAGCAAGCACAGCAGAGAATACAGAGTAATAACGGAACAACGATATGAAAAGAATAAGAGAAGTTAACAGTGTCAACACTTTTTAAAGAGATTAATAGAGTAAATTAAGAAATGTAACCTGCGCGAGCGCGACTATCGAGTGACCGATGAAAACGATGTGAAACCTGTCCGGCTGAACGGAAAAGGTTTTCACCCAGGCACCCAGACAATTTAAACTAGTGCCTACGATGAGGGTCCATCGCAAACCGCACCTGTCTGTCATATACGATGCTGGGAATATAAACGCCGCGTACAACGCCATGAACGACATCGAGGTCCAGTCAACCATTAACGAAGACACCCCGTAATATCTAAATAATGTACAAAAAAGCCTACTGATGTGTTCGCGCTCAAAACTGTTCATGTTTTAAGGAAAATGTGATACCTAGTAACTATATTAGTTATAATCGAATATTCTATCCATTGGGAGGAATTCGCTCCAGCATAAATCATGTAGATGACCAGCATCAGCCATCTTTTTTTATACACCTTCAATTTTAACGGTTCGACGTCAGCTGGTTCACTCGATTTCGTTGCTTTTGTTGAGTCCTTTATCGCGAGTACCTCGCTCAAACTTTTATCTTCCGTCATTTTCACTTTTTTGTAAAATAAAGTTTGTAAGTATATTTGCTATATCTCTGTTTAAGTTGATAAAAATGTTAAACCTGTTCTTCTTGAATTGTCCTTTCAATAAACGCCAAGTGATTTAATTCCGAAAATAAGTATATTACGTTAAATTGTACAAACTTATGATATTAATCGCACAGTGAACAATTTTCTTATAAACTTGTGAGTAGCGCGGTACGATTTAGAATCGTATTTTACGTCTCGAAATTCTACACATTTCGCGAATTTGTTTAAAAATGGCGCGGCGACAAATGATTTGATGTTGAATAAAATTGAGATGAAATGTAACTGCGTGTCAAGTAACATCTCCGTTGCAAAGTTAGGCTCATTTAATACCACGCGATAAGTTTACCTTATCTGTATACGAACAAATAGAATGACAATTATTAGCCTGTGGATTTAGGAAACCGACAATCTGTCACTTACTCTTATCACATTTTTTATCAGATTCGGATGCTATATTTTAACATCCAAATTGCTTTATTTCAACACAACAGATATGTGACAGCATTATTCAACCTATTCTTATATATAGTATCGGGTAATTGGAATATGCGACGATATAAGATGTTGCGGTCAAACGGTCGTTTCAAATGTTTCGAAATATTCTTCTTCGCCTTTCTTTCAGAAAAGATAGAAGGAGAAGAGAAACACTTTGAAGTATTTGTAGTGACGGCTTGACCGCAACTATAGTAACATACGTAAAATGTGTGTTATTACATTTCTGTTCGAACAATTAAGAATATTAAGAATGACAAAAGTGTGTCATGTAAATCATGCACAGATTCGTTGGATTTAATAGGATTATACGAGCGAGATAAATGTCTAATTCACGTAATAGCGATATTTCCTAATGAGTGAATATTGAACTGAGATATGGTCTTATACCGTAAGATCTTCGTATTTGCGTAATTTTATTACATCAACTGGAAAGAGAAAAAGGGGATGGGTGTGGAAAGGGGGAGGGAGGAAGGGGGGGGGAGAGAGAGATTCACGACTGATTATCGATTCCGTTATTTAAAATTGGAAGTCCTTTTGGAAAGTATTACTGGATACGTAATCAGCACGTTGAAATATTTTCAATTGACATGTGACATGTTTATTAAAATTATATTAAAACATCGTTTCCCTTTGGCTATATAAAAGAAAAGAGAATTGTGTCCGATTCATTATCCCAGTATATATAACTTTTTTTTATCTCGGCGAGTGCCATTTCTCTGATGTATTTTCAATTGTCGCGCAAGAGTTTTTGAGTTGCATATTTTTAACTAACATTTTTTGCTCCTTGCAGAAATTGTATTCGCTATTAGTAATCATTATTGATTATTATTCAACAATGTACGATATTAATTAAACATATATCATGTTAGATGTTAAAATATACCATGCGAAATATACGATAACGTTATTTGCATAAAGTATCTGTATGTTACACTTTAACATTCGAAATATACATGGATATTGTATCAATGCAACCAGCAAATAGCTCCGCAGAGAGTTAATTATAGTATCAGAACTAGAAAATTACGTATGTACAATCATCATGAGGTACGGCTTATTGCATGCTTAATTGTAACGCAATACGTAGGATCTCGCTTTGGGAATTTGCTATCTCGAGGAAAAAGGGGACAGAGAAGAAATTACGAGAATATTGCAATACTCACTTTTCGTCGGAGAACACACGTCGTTCTAGAGAACAAGCAAGAGAATATATCTTACTTCGCGCGCGAGGTAAGCTACTAAATTGAACTTTATGCATTGTACATCGGGGGATTTCGGTATTGCGATATCAGCCTTGCCCCGCGGGTTCCTGTGAGAAAAGATGTACAAAGTAACACGCAATACGTTTTCCATCGACGTGAGAATTTCCACGCGTCAGAATTTTGTGACACTGGAAAACTCGATACGCGGCACATCCTTCCAGCGCGGTGATTCGGATATGAAACTGCAAACGTCGCTCACAGTCGGTTTAATGGATGAAGATAAAATCTACGCACACCTCGCGCAATATCTCTTTTATCTTTTACATTTGATACAGGACTTCTAGCCTCTTGGAATAAATGCTTTATTGCTACAGAATTTATAAGCAAGGACGAGACAATTTTATAAATTGGATTTTGTGCACGATTTATTTTAAACAAAACGGATAATGGAATAATAACTCGAAGCTATTGAAATATAACTTATAATTGCAATTTTAAACTCAGAAATGTAATATCTATATCAAATTACATATTTAATATATATGTATGGTTATAAAAAGAATACATTTGTTAATTTGCTTTTTATACACTGCAAAATATGTCCACTCTAAATTCCGCGAAATTATAACGGAAAAGAGTGACTTTCTTTCCACTTTAAGTAAACGTGAAATTAAAGCGGAATTGCGTGTACAAGACATTGTCCTAATAAGAATGTCCTGTATAAATAGAAGGAAAATTTAGCAATTTTTTAATTTTTCTCCTGATATATTGTAAAAAAGAATGTATCACCTGGAAGACAATATTTCATTAGACAAAACATGAATTCATCGCAGTCACATGCGGTACATTTACCGCGATAGTTACCGCGTCTATCCATTCCCATATTGCTCCGCAAAAATTAGCGACAAAAATATTAAACTTAATACTTGTCCTTTAGTCCCAGTCTACAATAGAGATTTAAGCCCTAAGCCTTAAGAAATTGACTAATCACAGTCGCGCATTCTACTCATACTTGACCGTGATTGGCCAATTTCTTAAAGCTTAGGGCTTAAATCATCTATTGTAGACTGGGACTTATACATAAAACGGATATGTTTTGTAGTGCAGCTGTAATAAAAGAAACATCTAATAAAGTTTTTTCTTATGAAATTTTCAATTGTCTATCTCTGATTTTGTTGACTTACCTGGGAAGATGAGAGAAGTGAGTGTAATGCTTTGCATATAACAGAATTTTATTGGACGTTACACTTTAACAATAAAGGCGACGCAAAAATGTAATCCTCTTAACCTTACATAAATTTAAAGTTTATATAAAATTAAACTCATCTAATGTAACTTTTTTTCATCAATCCGTTCAAATTTTTTAAATGCATTGTTACCATTTTAGTATTCTGTGTACAACGATGTGTATCAAAGAAATGGTTGGAATCTGAAAAGAACATTACAATAAAAATGTGCATTTTTATTGTAAAAATATGTGATTCGTGCTCATTGCTTCCGTGTACAATTGAGTATTTCGCGCACGCTGAATACATTTTATTCGGAGAAGTTTTATCGTTATCTATACTTTTCGTTTTGCACACATTCGCCAATTATTTGTTTTCGTAATTTAAGGAAACGATCGTCTGGAATTTTATATAAATGGTTGATTAAATCTATACACATACTCTAAGGATTATTCGACTCTTATTACGGTTTAGTGTTTTACAGTTCTTAAACGCTTGAGATCGCGACTCGCGGTACTATAATTGGTATTAAAGTATGTATACAGTGTTCATTACAAACTATTCAATTCACCGAGCAACAGTTCACAGGGCGATGTTTGAAATATAAAAATTGGTGAAAAATCACTTTACACTCCTAGCGTAAGTTATTACACAGATACAAGTTCATACAAGTTTATACGTTAGGTGGCTAGTTTCAAACGGGTGTATAATCATCATCTGTCGGACGTTTCGCGATGCTTAAATTAGTTCCAAAATTATTTTTTATGCTTTATATATATATATAGAGGGAGAGAGAGAGAGAAAGAAAAAGAGAGACAAAGAGAAAAAAATTGTTTACATTTTATGTAGGATGCCTCTCGGGCGTTGTGGTTTCGGGAAAGCATAGGAAATATTAATTTATTAAATAAATAATTTAGGCCACAGTACTAATAAATTATTTTAAATATTGAGTAATTGAAATAGTCACGTTAACCACCAAATTGAGCCGTGCAATATACTTTAATGAAGAGGTCCAAATCGATATCGTGATTACGAGAGCAAAACCTTTTACAAGATTGGCAGAACGGTGTTGGCAGTATTCTATTAATATCGGCTAAATTAAATCAGATTTTATTTTTCATAAACTGTGCGCTTCAGTGGCATGTCACATTATATATTCACGATGACAATAATAAAGCCTTGTAAATACATCTGCGTTTGAATGCTGCGTGAATGCATTACATGATAATTGGGTACTGATGTAAAAGAGATTTTCATGTCCCGCCGTTTCATTTATTTAATTCTTGTCCAACTTGAAAAAGTTTATGTTTCTCCGATAATGGCACGTTTCGCCCGTTCTCCTCGCAGTGCTGTAAAATATTTCACATTTCAGGATGGAATTAAACATTTTTTAATGTAACTCTTTCAATTGCAATGGACCTGTAAAAGTGCAATTTTTCTCTTATTTCCCTCCTTTCTAGAATCTCACGTTGTGAACACATTTTTGTACCTGTTTTAAAAAGAATTATACCTTGTATTACATACCCTAGGGTACACCCTGTAGGATGCATCCTGTAGAAATATGTTGTATAGCAATGCCGAGATTTATTACTCAAGCTTTAGCTTATAAATTCTTTAATAAATTTGAGATCAATTTTTTCGCAGTAAAAATTCGATAGATACCTATCTTTTTAGCAATTCTCTGTGTAATGCTTACAAGTCTTAATGAAAATATGAATTTTAAAATTTTGTTAACATACCTGAATTCTAACCGAATTGTACCTTAATAGAAATCTAGTCGGAAACTTTGCAAAGAGATTCAATATTCAGTATCAAAAAGATTTAGATAAAGAGATTGGCGATCAATTGAATTTCCACCGCGGTAAAATCGACTTTAAATTGATCAAAGAATTCGTAAGTAAAAGAAAGTATTAAGATTCCCAGGGGAATCAATGGCACAGGGCATGTATATCGATGAATAGAGCGAGTGGTGGTTTGTGAAAGCAAAGCGACGCGATTGAATTGATCGGAATACGCGTGCGGTAAAAGAAAAGTGATTTGCAATGAATGAGTAGAGGGATGTTAGCGAATAAAAAGATACGACAAGACGTATCACCACGGAAGCATGGAAGTCTCGTTCTGTTTAGTTCTATTGAACATTTACCTTGTAATAAATATTATAAATCACCTCATCAGTATAAATCATTAAAATTGTAGGCGTGACCGAGTCTGTCGTACTGCACTTATATAATACAGCGTCATCGAACATGCGTCTAATACATATACTTTTTTTTTGCGTATCTCATGCTGTCAAGGTAACTGAACACAATTTTACAAACAATCGCAGAGTTACTTCTTTTAAAAATAATACTCAGTGAAACGTACTATCGTAACTAATCACTCACGACTGATGAAAGTCGATAATATTAATTATAAGGATATATTTACAAGAAGATCCTCGATGACATAATCACTGGACTGTGATCCGCGATTAAGCGGTGACATTTGGTTTATAGTCGATCTGTACAAATAACTTACTCGTCATTCTTTGTAACTTACAAATTTACAAACGCATGTATGTAGGACGTTACCCGAGAGTAATATGTATCAACAGAATTATATATTCTAGCGCCGCTTATCAATAATTATATAACAATAATACGGAACAAATAGATGGGAATTATATTTTTGGCTGCGATATGTTTTTTTTTCTTAATTCAATATTTAACAAGATTTCCTCTTCTATCGTCACGGTTCGTGTGTTATTTCCATAATTTGATCCCGGAACACATGCCGATAGCTTATATAAATGTACATTGTATCAATAATCTTGTATAAAGATATTTATAAATTTACAGATGTCCAAAAATTTGTTAAAATTTTGCCACATATTCTACCAAGTTCGTACATCGTCGTGTGTCCGGTGCGAGTGAATGAGAACGAGTGATTTCCGACCTTTCCCCTCAAACGTTGAAATGTGTAACCAAAGTTCTAATCCCATCTGAGAAGGTCTAATTTGTAATATAGAAGTGGCATATGAAATGACACGGAATATTGAAAGCAGCGTAATAACATAAATAATCGCATTACATATAAAGAGAATATGTTAAACGTACATTTATCTGAACAGACAGTCCTGGGGATATTCCGTTGGAGCAACTGAACATTGCATCAACATATTTGAAGACATGCGGTTGTGTATCTCGCCGGAGATGCACAATCGCACATCAGTGCAAAGAATTTATAGCTTTTTGCATGTCGAACAAATCCTATCGCGCTCATTTCAATTATGCAAAGACACGTAATGGAACCACAAGTGGCAAAAATTGGATTTTGGGTAAACGTAAATAAACTATTTGCACCGCTTTCATTGCGTGCGATGCTTCTGTCGAAATCTTCGATCCTTTTGTGCGAGCGTTTTATTCAAAACCTTTGAATATTCAAATAGAAGCATTCAGCGGATAGTTACTTTTTTAGCGACGAAAAATTATGCCCGTACGAACGACGCGGAGTCGCGTAGCTATAACTCGTTAAATTCATCCCACATGAGAATCATAATCCTATAAATTTATTATGGCAACGCATGTCCCATAGAAATTAAATTTAGCGAGCTGGTTTTAACGAGCTGTCTATCGAGACATAGCTCATTCACTAAATGTATCTTATCATTGCATCTTCCCGAGAAAGCTGAAGAATCGCTATTAAACGAAAAGTAAACGGGAAAGGGTTAAAGCAGTTCCTCGTTATCGTCCGAAACACCGTACATCTGCGGCCTCCTTTCCAAAAGTCGCTGCTGCTGCTGAGTCTGTTGTTGTTGTTGTTGCTGCTGCTGCTGCTGCTGCTGCTGCTGCTGCTGCTGTTGCTGCTGCTGCTTTTGAAGGAGCGCGATACTGGCGGCTTTATAGTTAATCGGCCCGTACGACTTGTAGTCCACGTCCGCATAATCAAGATCGGAGAATTCCGGCTTGAAGGGCTGCATAAACAGAAAAGCGTGACGAATATCACGAAACGAAAGTGACTCAAACAATACAAATGTCAAAAAGACATCCTGATCTCTCAAGTGCCTTTCAGATGTTTCAGTTCCATCGCGAAATTGCTTCAATGCAGAATTAGAATAAAGTTTCGTCGCTGTATCGACTTACAAGTTAGTTGTTGCCTTTATTACAATACTTAATTAGACACTTAATTCAAACAGTAAAACCGACCTTAATCTCTTGGATAATCCTAGAAAAGGATTTGATCTCGATAGTAAAGAGTTAAAATGTCCCTTAAATTTTTGCATTGTTTGAGTTCTAATCGTACTGCGCGGACGATTGCGCACACGCGAGTTTTACGGCGGACTGTTCGTGAAGTTTCGTAACAGACCTGCTGTGCAAGCGATCGACAAATGACTAGTACCATTTCGGGTGTTAAGCGCTCTCGTTCGTGATCGATGTCAGTCAATTAGACAACGACGCGCACCTAAGGCGAGTACACGAGTTAAGCGGAGATCTTATTGAAGGGCTGAGAGAACTCTATGTACGAACGGGCCATTCGTTGCTAAGCCATCTGGTAGATAATCCTCTTATTCTCAGCCCATCAATTGTTAAGATTAAGTGTGGTCATGATAAGTGTTATCATGCTGCATGCTAGTCGCCCCGTGTATATTAAACTGGTATGCGTGGTTCGGAATTGAGAGGATTGTTGTTCGAACTGTTATACTCGATATTGCTTAATTGGTTCGAAGCTCTCATTGTTGTGCGTAGCAAGAGCGACGATTATAAACCACGATAATCTACAATTGGCTAAGATACGTCCGCAGTATGTCGATATGGAAAATAGACAGTCGCTTTTACGAGGAACGTAGAATAGTGCAATATCGCATGCGACGTGGTGAACCGCAATACTTGAATGTACTTGAAAGTTATTTAGCAGATGATCCTAACAATCTCTTTTTCTATGAAGCAAATTTGTTTGTAGGCAATAAAATATATGTGCTGGGCATATTACATACATGCCCCTAAGAAAATTGGAAGTAATTTCGATGACGCACAGAGGCTAAGCAGGAATTGAAAACAATTTGCAAGAAACTAGCACGTGAACAATGTGTTAATTCCAAGATATTGAGATCGTTGTAACTTTACGAGTAAAGCCACGGGCTCGAGTTCGGGCATCCCTTGCGCGAATAGACATTTCGTATTTGTAGTGTCTCGAATTACGTTATGTGTGTAAGCAGCGTGGCATACTCCGTACAATGTACCTACAGGGGCTTGTCGGACGCCAAATTGTCCTAGTAAATGTACGTATCGCTCTTTGTCAGCGGACCCTCCTACGAACAAACATTGAGATATACAATTGATATGGTACGCATGCAACGATCCTTCCGCACCGCTCGCATTGCGCTTTTTACGTCGGCTGCCTCACGGGCAAAAGTACGTACACGAGAGAGATGCATGCAAAGTGGGCAGCGACCAAAACTGTTTTGACGATTTAATTCGCTTCCAATCGAAAACAACGCGAAATTACTGGCAGTTTGCATAAGGGACATAAAAAAGGGCATAAATAAAACATTCACGATAGAATGATGTTACCGCGAGGCGAAATGTTCGATTCGATTCGTCTCGATATCGTTCCGCGTTCTATCAATTTCTCCAGACTTCAGATAAAGTGTAAATATTGCACCGCTCATTGTTTTTTTTATAAAAGAAAATCTAATAAATTAAAATTACACTTGGCGAAAAAAATATTACGACGACTCAACATTACCTATAGAAGTTTGCGGCGTAGAGTCTGTAACTACACGACAAAACAAAACGGAGCAACTGCCAGCAGACTGTAGCCTGTACGATATACTTTGTGTACCCGCATCTAGAATGTCTCGAAAATCGATAGTTTCAAATTTGATATAAATATTAATTTGATATTGTTACTCAAGTCTTTCGAGATATCTTGTTACTGATATATTGTACTTTGCGTTGGGTTACATTTATCAACTTGTAGATAATTTCCTTTCTGTAAGCCAAATCAATATTAATATAATGCGCATGATCGTATGTGCCATTGTCGGTCTTGCAAAGTTTTTCTATAACTGGGATGCTCAAACCGATGCGCGATTTTAATACTTCGTATTTGAACGGTTTTCCATTTTTTTCGAGGGCACTCGTAGAAATGCGCGACAAAGCATTTATAATGGATTGGATAGTTTTTTAATATGAAATATTGAAAACGCACACACAACGTTCCTGCGTGACATCGACTGATGGTCGCGTAAATGATCTATTTGTTTGCAGCAATGCTTTATGTCGCTCAGTACTATCGCTTTACGCATGAAGTTTAACAGCATTACATTGATTTAAAGTGCACGATTTACTAAAAACAAATTGCGGCCGTAGCACCCAACTGGAAAGTGAAATCTAGTAAACACTGAATATGTGTATGTAAATATAATGGGCACTTCTATTTCGCATCTCGAACCACGCTGTGCGTATCGTCAAAAAATTTGTATATTAAAAGGGGTATTTGATGTTATTATCAGATATGATATTGTTATGTGATTAATTATAAATCATATGACAATATTGAGTTATGTGGCTATGAAATACGCAATCTTTTTTCTACGACTATCAAATTATATTTTTCGAATTTATCAAAGCACAGAGTTGATATGCCGTGCGTTGTCAAATTAATATTAATTCAGATGCAAGAAGAAGAAAATGTGTAGAACTGTACCTGAAAAGTCAAACAAACGCAAATAAATCGATGCGAAAGCAGCCAAAGATCAGGACAAGAGTCGAGTTGTTGGAACGGCAGGAGGAGATCCACGGATATTTGGTAAAATAAATAGAGTAGAAGAGGAGAGCGAAGAGAGAGGAGGTATGTATTAATTTGTTACCCTACCTTTGAATACGACGTACGCAGAGAGAACATCCTAAAGAAATCTGTGTTCGGCACGCGCGGGTGCGTTACCTTTAAGACGTGCACCGAGCCTCGGGGGGGAGGGTCTTAAACAAATTGCCACGGCGTTCCTTGGAAAAAAAAATGCGATCGCCTGCGTTCTCCGAGAGCACATCCGTGCCGTTGTGCACCAGCGGGATACGGGATGACTAACCTTTAGACATCGATCTCCTGACCGACATCCCGGAAGTGAAACTCGGCGTACTGCATTATCGTGGGTGCGGACGGTATGCTGCGGGTGTCGCCGAGCCGTGTCTTGGACGTTTTGCCGCGATTTTTCGCGTCGGCCGCGTCCGCTGCGAATTGAGGCGCGTTATTACTGATGCAGCGATTCGTTTGATGCTCCCACGGCTGCTGTTGCTGGCGCGCCGAGTTCGGCTTGCGATAGTCGGCGGAGCACTCGGCGATGTCGTCCTCGTAGTAATGCGGATACGAGATCTTGTACGTCGTTTCGGGCACGCCCAGATCCGGGATTTGGTGGAAGCTGGTCTCGCAGTCGGCCGCGTCAAAGGAGGCATTGCTGCGCCGCGACGGGGTGTCCCTGTCTCTTGGCCGGTTCTGCTTCGACTTGCTACGATCGCTCGAAGTTCGCTCGTGCTTCCGGTACTTCCGATTACGCTCGTTCCGCCGATTCGTCGCGTGCCGACGCGACGACGATTGTCTCGCGTCGTGATTGCCGTAATTAGACTGTTGCTCCTCGTCCCGATGCACCGCAGGCAGGTGATTGCCAATGTTGGCGGCCTCGTGGTGCATCAGGGTGGACGGCCGGCTGTTGTTAGTGTGGACGAGGGAGGTCTGCAGGGGACTAACTATCGAGGAATGGTAGAGGCTGCGCGTTAATGGCAGTGTTAGTTGGTTCGAACTGTTGCTCGGTAAGGGGTAGCTGTACTGCTGCATCTCCTGCCGATGCTGCTGCTGGTAGTGTTCTTTGTAGTTGTATAGGCTGTCGGTCTGCAACAGGCACGGTTAGTAGTTGGAACCAGGCAATTCGGGGACGTGAGTGGTTAACGCGACGCAGAGTGTGCATGAGAAGAACGGACGGCTGAGATATCACTTCTCGGTTCCTCGATATTGGGGAAAGAGTACAAATCTGTACAAATCTCTATATCACGCAACGTCACTTGTTGTGCGAGATATACAGAGCACACACAGAGTTTAACGTGTACGGTATATATATATGTATCTAAAGTCTCACGCACAGATGGATTTTATCAACAGACGCATGGGATTTTACATGGGAGATTCGACGTGCAAATATAACACAACACATTTAAGTAATGGCACAATAGAACCCCCGGCGTTCACACTTTAAGGCATCTTCTATAAAGGACTTATGAATTATTGTTCGCGCGATGGATTTTGCATGTTCATCGCACGCTCGACAAATTCTCGTCGACAATGTTCATCGGCGCACCTATACCCGATAGCGCGATAAAGGAATTGTGCGAGGTTTATACGGCAGATCGAGAGAAGTAAAGATATTTTCGTTGCAGAGTCGTGCCGTGTCGATCCTTTTTATTGTAAACGAGGGGAAGACAGGGACACATAGCAAGAGTGGAAGACCTCGAAGTGACATCTCAGGCTTATCGGTGTTCGAAACAATATAAGAGCTCGTGTCATTTGGTTAAGCGTGTGTGACAGTGGAAACTTACTTGACGCGCGGCCAACATGCACAAGGGCGGTCGCTACATAGATGCCCGGATCCAGCTTAGCAGGGAAAATATGATTTCCGATTATAACTCGGCTTCCAGCAACTCTACCTCCTACTTGCTCGAGAAGCTGCTGTTTTATATCTATTACGGACACGTAAATCGTACTCATGCAGTAGGCGCGAGATGCTAATGTTACTCGGTGCTTAAACGGGGATGGATTGACGTCCCGCTCGTTGGACGTCGCCGCTTTACGCCGATCGTAACTCTCGCGATTAGTTGCAAATAGTTTGATTAAGAAAGTTACAAGAGTAATCACATTCCCGACGTGAGAATCTGTAAAATGCCATGACGGTGCTCATAAAGTCGCTACGGGGGCTCGTAAAGGAAATCAGATTACAATTAAACTGCTGTAACAACGATGCGATGATAAGGGGACGTCTATCCGGAGAATGAAATTTCTATTGCAGATTATATGTATAGCTTAATTACTACGAGAAATTAAAGCTGGTAATACGACAAACAATTATGTAACAATTATGCCAAATCTACAAGCTCTTACCTTTACAAAATAAATAGCATAAAATTCTTCGATTTGAAATAAATAGTAAAGGTGGCTTACGCCGAAAGGACTTTGCTTACTAGGGAGTTTTATCGGGGAGTAAGTTAATCTAAATAAAATAACATCGCATTTGAAGGCTAATTATATATTGACTATAGATAGATGCTTCCAGTGCGGTTTTAGCATTGCGTAATTGGAGGTGGCCTTTTATCGAATTTTGTATTTCACTTATAATTAGTAAATGGCAGTCGTTATTAATTTTAACGAGCTGTTTTGTTTCATCAAAATTTCTTCATCTCTAATTAAATAGATACAATAAACTAACAACGACTTGGATAATGTACAAGGAAATAATAAATTTTATATTTCGATGGTTGAAGCGAGAAGTGGACTTAGAAATCCAGCTAATAAAATTACTGTGTCGAAATATGTGACCGAAAATAGTACATGTAAATTAAATCAAATTTAATATGTTTCTCGTTGCGTCACGATTCATATTTCAGTTTAAAATAAATTTATAAATATGGTTTATATATTTCTTCCTGTCATTTTATATACAATTCTCTTCACGAGCTCTGAAGTAATGTCGTTATTCTGTGGCTGTAAAAAGCATTGTGTTGCGACCGCAATACTTGATGAAATGCAGCAGTGAGAAGGCCTTGTATACATCAAACTTCCGTCAAAGCTTTTAGAAATATTGAATTCAACATATCCCTCCTATATTCCGATATACGTAATATATGTATATGTACAATCTTTTTCTTTATGCGTCACATTTCTTACCAACGATAAGTATTCATGGTCACAGAAGTGTAAATGGGAGGAAATGTGTGTTCAACAATGTCCAAAATTATAAATTGATGCGCGAAATGGTTCTTTTTTTAATCTGGCTGGCACGACGTCAAAATCACGATTATTAATATGAAGATTAGCGTAGGAGACAATACGAGCCCACGGCGATGAAACCGATCGAGAAACGGTTGGCGAGAAGCTCGCTCACGGCAACGTCCACGAGCGTTATCGGATGCGGGGGAGTCCTATTATAGATCATCAGTAGTTGACAAACCTTAAGCTTAGGCAACGAAGCGTTTTTCGGCGGAAAAACGGGGGGAGGGACATTTTGATAAGTGTGTTTGGACGGGTCGGTTTTTTTCGACGTCCTCGGCGCTGGTATCGGCGGCGTCGACGGTGACGGCGGTATCGGCGTCGACGGCGCCGATCGGGTCATCAGGCTGAGCGACGCTGACGTCTGACTCAGGGTCAAGGACGGCGCGTCCTCCATCGACCGGACGATCGTCGCGATTGTGGCCACGCTGTCGCTCCTGTGCGGGCACGTCTTATAGATCGGTATCGCGTACAGCTCGTACTTCCTGCGAATGTTCTCATGCCGGCGACAGAGCCGCAACGAGTAGAACTGCTGCGAGTGCTTCTGCTTGCGTCGCCGCGGCTTCAGGGTGTTGTACTTGAGCACCGGCGAATTGCTCCTGGGCACGTTGTACACGTTGTAGTGCGGCCCTAGGTGGCTCATGGTCGACTCGTAGCCGGAACTGCCATCGCAGAGACTGACAGCTCTGCTCGGCGGCCGTGAGGAGCACGGCGAGGTCGTGATGGAATGCAACGTGCCATGCAAAGCCGAAACTCGGGCAAACTTAGGAGTAACCAACTAAAACAAAACGCAGCCAGCGGCCATTCGCATATACACATAGACCTTTGGCCTTCGGTTTCGGTTTGTTTTGCTCTGGCTGTGGTGTTGATTAACGTTCGATTATCGTGCATCGTCAGCACCGACGGTCTCTTAGCCCCCGAGGGCAATGATGTTTCGGTGATCGCGATCATTTAATTAGTGACGATGAAGTCGGCTTCGTACAGCAGATTGGCTGAAACGGCGTTTCCTCGCCGTAGGACGTAAGGAGGCAATCTATGTCAATTTCTGAGTTGCTATTGGCATTTTGGACCAGTACCACTGATACAGTTACGTCGCTTCCTTGTGACGATTAAGAGGAAGTTATTCTAACGTTATGTACTTGATAACGACATTTCGAGGAAGGTTCGCGAGTGTAACAATGTTACGTCCCGTGACGGTAGATCGCGATTGGCAGACATTGTGTTATAAACTATAGGAGAAATTTTTTCAATAAAATAATTGATATATCGATTATTCCTAACATCATTTTCTCCAATTTCTGTTATGCAAAAGAAGATTATCGTGTTATACGATTTATCAGGTTACGGACTGAAGAGGGAAACATCCAACCTTTCTTAACTTGATATCTGATAACAATTCCAAAATTGAATTTTTTTGTTAAGCAATTAGGGAAGCAAAACATTATACGTAACTGTATCATTATATTAATAGATAAAATTTATCCCAAAACTTACAGGGTCCCTAAAGAGTTTTATTTACAGCTCTTCTCACGAACAAGCTCACGAATCATTGAGTAAGAGAAACACAAATTACATTTATTATTTTTACAATATTACTTAATACCGATTGATGAACGTTGTGTTGTCATAAACTATTGGAGGATCTTTTAGAATGAGATTATTGATAAAACGATTCCTAATGTAATTTCTCCAATTTCTGTTGTGTGTGTGTGTTGGGAGAAAGATATTGGTTTATACGAGTTATCAAGTTACGACTGAACAGCGGAAATGTAATATTTATCTTTCCCTAATTTTACACGATGATAATTCCAAATTGAAATTTTGTCATGTTGATGAAAACTAACAAATTGAAAATCTCGTCAGTAATACCATTAAAAGTAATTACAGTTAAATGAAATATAACGTGGTAGCACTTGTAAAATGCAGCGTACTATTATCGATACGTTAGGACAATCATCCGTTGGGCACCGGCCTTGATTATCGAGTGGCCCATGCCAGCAACAGTGCTTATTGCCTCTCATTGAATTATACGTTGATTGATTCGGATTGCGCGCGGATTGTGAATACTAGCGAATTAGGTAAACCGATTCGGCTAATTTCGCTCGGCGCGCTTGCCAAAATGAGCTTTGCGTTTATGAATGTTTGTGATATCAAATGGGAGACATTTTCCGTCAAACAAAGTTAGCTCGGCAATAATCGACAGCCATTTTAGAATAATCTGTTAGCGAGAGTTCATTACAAGTCAGAATTCATAGTTCAATTCTAGATTTACGTAAAGGGCGACTACGCAAGCTAAAAATTATAGATTAATAGTCTAGCATCTATTATTCAGAAATTACAGGGCTGACAGTTTATTTGCAGCTCATGTCATGAATAATTCACTAATTGGGGAATATTTAATATTTTTACTGGATTGCTAATCAATTCAAAATTACTTACGTATAATTTTAGCAAAATTTTATTTATAAACAATAAATAACCTAACCTACTATTTTTATAATCTGTACGAAGAGCCGATTTAGCAATGATGAATTAGTTATTTAATAAATTTTATCGGATAGAAATAAATTTATCGCAACGTTTTCTAACGAATATCGAATAAATGTACGACAAAACGTGGCGAGTCTCATTACATTCTCGAATGAAGAACGCAAGTGGCGTCAACGTTATTTTTCATTAAACAATGACAATCAACGCTCGAACGTTAATCAACAACAAAACCGTATATATCGATTTCAATAGGAATAAAATCACGCAGTCATTCGTGTAGCTTTATCGTAAAACACAAATTATTGGAAACTCATTGCAACCATTGGTCCTTTTAGAAAACGTTAGTGCGAGCACGAGTAAGATAAAAAGAAAAAAAAAAGCATAGAGTGAATTTATTTCTGCCAAGTAGCAATGCTTGTTACACTCGCACAGCACTGAATTACCTGTCCACCACGGTGCTCTTTTTTCCCGCTATATTGATTGGGCTATGAGACTTCCTATAGCTAATAAAAGTATCCGGGAATTCGCAAAAAATGTATTGAGGCAGCGCAAAGAATTAATAGCATAGCCACTTACTTGCTAAGAATTAATACAATTTCGTTTACTTCTCATTGGCAAATTATCCCCGCGATTTTATGAAACTGTTAAATTATCGTTTTGCAATTATCTGTAAGACAATCGACAGAATGTTATTGCACAATTTACGGATATTGCACGAAATTACGTAATAAGCAGTAAATAAAAGTCAGCCAGTGCGAAGTGCAAAATATTTCAGTAATTAATAAAACGCACTTAAAGGCTAGAGAGAAAAAAAAAATAAACTGATCAATGCGTTAATATAACACATTTCAGAGAAGCGTGTGTAATTTTGACGAAGGCATTCTCTGGTTTTGATCCGTTGTTATTTTACCGCGTGCAGAATATTATTATAAAGTTTCACACGAATGAAACGCTTTGATGGTATATACCGAATGAATCGATGTTTCATTCGACATTCATTTCAGCAATATCGGTTTCGTACGATTATTGCTAAAAGCGGTGCGATTACGAACCTCAAATTTGCAACTAGATTGACGAGCAACGATTGTATATTTATTACTGCAAGATAATGACGGTAAATTGTCAGTCGCCACCATTAATTATATTCTATCTCTCCATTAAATTATCTCAATATGAATGATTATGATATAATTTTAAACGCATAAATATGCGGAGAGAAATTGAAAACCCCTCAAATGTGTAAACACGTAAAATAATACCTATATAATATTCTAGTAAATTGCTTTCTCTTTGTCGGAATAAGATATTGATTCGGCATTATCATCAAGGTGAATCCTGGTACAAAGAATTCATAATGTTCGTTGAGTCGGATTGATGTTACGGGAAGTAGAATATCCTTTGTAGAATACCTGACGATTCAAGAGAACGATATATTTATGCGCTCAATAGGAACGCGATGCTGTAAGGTTGCTTGAGACGGCTAAAATTTGCATTGTAGAGATCTATACGTCGTAATCGGATACGTTTGCAAGGCAGAAGTAAGACAAAAGAGGCTTACATTAAATAATAATACCTCATATACAAGTGATATTAGGAGCGTATAGATCCAGTATATAGAAAAATCAAATAATCCCCTTCCTTATTTTACACAATACTTTTTTATATGCAGGACGGTTGAAAATTCGCGTCTATGTTCTAACTGTTGGGACATTTCTTTGAGATAATCGCTTCATGTGCATAATTTGCAGATAACTTGTCATCAAGTCCATTATCTCGGAAGATTTCACGCTCTTCTGACACGCAAAAGACTTAGTTCCGACTCCAGTTATTCAAACGTAAACAGAAAAGGAAGTCAGTTGTGAAATGGCGAAATTAATTATTTAAACGTCTGCTCGGTGAATCAATTAACCGCGGTAACAGGCGGTAACGAAGTGAGAGGGTGCGCTCGTAAAAAGGGGCGGTAAAGAGTCGAGAAAGGGATGACGGATGCGTTCGCGCGGTAATTCGCTAAGGCCGGCGAATATCATGAGCTCGAGGACAGCCTCTTAATTGCGAAATGATGATTCGGAAGGTCACCGAGAGCTAATATTATAGCCATTATAAGGATCGAGGGGGGTTTCGGTAGCTGAGTTCGGTAACTCTTACAAAGTGAAGCACGAGCAATACGGAGGAGCCGTCTGCTGGAATAGTAAGGCACTCCTGAGTGCCGAGGGTCTTCGAACGGTGAAGGGGTTGCACGGTCGAAGGGTCGCACTAATATCTACCCTCTTGGCCTTCCACCGCATTTCACTTGCTATCACCTCTCGAACGTATTTGGTCAGAAAGGGATACCGTTAATCGCCGAACTGTTCACGAAACTTGGCTGGCTAACTGGTGGAAATGCATCGAGAGGGTATCGGGCCTCTCGCTCGCGAGGTCGAGCTCAATGCGATTCTCTCCGGCACAATTGAAGACGAAAGTCAACGATTATTAAATATCGAAGATCGATTCTCTGACTTGAAACGTTTCCTCCTTACGTTCTCATTCAAAGAAATTATTTTTCACATCTAACATAGTTTTCGCTATAACGTTGCGGACTGACTTTTTGCGACTGATACGTTTGCCGTCATTCTTTCGACAATCACGATAATATGCGAGTTGCAAATCGAGTCTAGCTCATGCGGTTTGATAAAGTGCTGTCCGTATTTTATGAAGTGATGAAATTATACTAACCTTGTTAGGTGGCGCTTGGATTCCGTGGAAAGGTAAATTTTCGTAGAACGTCTTTGTCCCGGAGTCGGGAAGAACTTCCGACACGCTGTTCACATGATTGTTATTCGCGGCTTGATTGGGATCTGCAATTGCAAAAAGAGAATGTTAGTAACGTTGCATAAATTGTCGCGTGGAGAATTGTTGACGACGATGGTAAACCCGGCGATCCATAGGAACTGTGTTCCGCCAACACATTCCGACTTAATCCAATAAAACGATGAGCTTTTACTAGTAAAAAAAGGACTGTAAAAGATAGAACGGAGTAACGAGATAATCGTGGAGCCCCAAACGGATTGCAATTCCGGATTGGATTCCACGATGTAGACACGAGATTAACAAAGTCTAAAAAGCAATCAATTGTAATTAATGCAATTTTTATAATATGAGAATTCCGAAGTTTTGAAATGCACACTTTATTCCTGCAGTTTCCAGTCGTATTTCTATTTTTTTTTCTTATAACGCTAGAACCACGATGTTCACTCGAAACGTCGGCACGCAGCAGAATAATCGTGCAAAGTGTGTAGTTGATAAATTGTCATTATCTTCTCATCGACAAAATCCTCTTGTTTAAAGGATTTTGATGGTGCGCATGAAAAGAGAATTTACATAGGTTTGATAATGTGAAAAAGATCGAGAGCAACATTCGCAATGAATGCTGCCACAGAAGGAACGCGCGGAATTATAGCTACGGTATAAATCAGAAGATCGATAACATCTATGATTAATAGTTGTTGTGTGATAAGTGAAATTTATGTGGCCGATTGCTATGTGTACTTTATGCGGAACTATGAATTCTTGCGTGCGGCGTGTGTTATCACCTATAGCTAAATATCCCTCTATTGCGTACACTAACGACTGCGGCATTCGCACTGGTGTCTGTGTAAGTGTTATCTCTGCCTCCGTATATCAATTTTTTTGTCCGGCGATGAATACGTATTCGCATGTACAGCCATCAGGTAACACGTAATTTTTAGAAAAGAAATTTGCCAAAAAAGAAGAGAAAGAGCTGGAAAGGGTTTCGAGTCAAAGTATGCGAGCAAATAAAGGTCGCAAGCATGCATGTTGTACAAAATTCTCCTTTTTTTTTCTACGTACCTGCTCCGGGTTTTTTTCGCTTACGAGACACGTTGCCACGATGCGGCTCGTAGGACGGTTCCACGCCGTGCAATAGCCGTTGCCGCGGCACAATTCTCTTGTAAGTCACAGCTAAGGAACATACAATCAACAACGAGCGGTATCACAAACACATAAAGCCTCCCTCTCATGCGACAGCTTAAGCGAACGTAAATTATCGCGTATATTAAAGAATAAATGGTATCAATGTTTTACATAAAATTTCTAGATCGTCAACAAGCAATCACAGATGAAGAGGCTAAAACGGGATTTATGACGTTTATGAAATTAGTTTTTCCACGTTTCTCTCGTAACTTAAGATGAAACATTTCATATATACCAATTGTAAATTGTGCCTGCGCGTGTGTATTTAGGGAACGTAGAGATTTTTGTTTCTGTACCTTCAATTTATGACTTCTCTATCTTTTTAAGAAAATTACATTGTACATCAGACATGAATAGTAAAATAAAAATGTATAATACATTTAGTACGTTTAACAAAGAAACGAAGAGACGAGAAAGCCATGCGACAGTCCTTTTTTGAAGCAAAAAATGAATTATTTTAATGTACACACAAAATCCATACTCATATGCTAGTGTATAATTTCTATTTTTTAGAAACTAACATAAAAGTTTCAAAGTGTCATTAAATATATTAACATTTTTGCGTTAATGGAAAGTACGTGAACATACATTTTTGTATAAAATTTAGAATGGTACAACGTGCACTTCTTGATTAACGCCTATTTGCTAATACAGTGGATTTAATTTTGCATGTATTGAAATTTCGTTTTTGAATAGACTCATTTTTTAATCTGTAGACTAATTGTAAGTAATGACAGTAAAGCTTTTGAATAAGCATCATTTGAAGTGCACTAAGGTTGAACATTCTCTGGAACATAAAGTTCTGGCCAGCGTCAGCGTGGAAAAGTTAGAAAGTTAATTACATGCTACATACGCAGCTCTATGCTTAATGAGGCTTCAAAGTTGTCCACGACGTATCTGGAAAACACGCACCACATACTTTCCAGTAACACGGCGATGCTTTCATTAACTGAAATGTTAACGTTAACATGAGAGCGCGTAAAAAGTTACGAAGGAAAAGCTACGGATAATAACGGGACAATAAGATATTACCTGCGACAGTCGGAAAGAAAAAAAAACAATGGTAGAAAATAATGCGAGAACAGATCGAAATAATGTACAGTAAATTCAATGCAATCGGTGAAATCAATATTGTGGTCTTGGCGAAAGATATAATTGGATAATATCATTTATGTATCAAGATCTCGACAAAATGTGCCACTATATATTTGTCAAGTTGCAAATTTAGTCATCAGATCTCAAAAGTGTTATTATTTAAAAAAAAAAAAGATGGAACGGTCGTTATTGGCTTACTGTGTTAGGATAGTACTAACGTCTTGCGAACGCGCGGAACAGGTCAGAGGTACATTTGGTTGACTTTCGGTGTGGAAAGGCCGTTTGTCTAACCCACTTATATTCACAAATATTTGCATCCGTCAGTATAGAGACCGTATATCTAGCTTACCGCCACGAGCGTGTGTGATGTTTTGTAAAATTAAAAATCACGTTTAAATGGCCCGCATTTAAATAGGTTTTAAGGTGTGAAATTAGAAAATGTTGCGACAGAAGCCGACTGCTTCGAGGCGAGCAAGTAGTTGCAAATACAAACGGCTTAGCGTCGGATGACATCTCGCAAAGTCACGGGTAAATAGCTCGACTCCTTTCCTACTGCTCTTACCTGTCTTTTCCCTGGATATACCGGGCAGGGTGGCCTGCTCTTTGAGCTGTACGCCAAACATGGCTTTTATCTTGTTAGCCCGGGCGAGCATACCGTCCTCGCTGAGACTGGTCATGCTGGTTGTCCTCTGCGCGGTTTGATCTTTCCTACCGCGACGGAATACCGTCCGTGCCGGGTTAGGGGCGATCGACGACAACGGCGTCTCGTCGAGGAACCTCTGCCTGAGCGGCTCGTCGTTATGTTTGCCCACCAGCTCGTTACGTAGATTAGCCTCGTTCGCGTGAACGCTCAGGCCGGATCGCAGGCTGTGAGTTCGATTGATGTGCACCAGCACGCCCGGCTTCAAGGGCCACCTCGGCGCCGGCGTCGGCTGCGCCGGGCTTTGCACCGAGTGCGAGGATACCGTCGGACTTGGCGGTCCACCGTCTGGACTGTATAACGATTGAGGTCACATAGGATAATTGAGCCAGGCGGGTGAAATGGAACGACGCCAGTGAGTTCTCAGTGATAAAATTAGAGAGAAGATAGGTATCCATTATAGTCGACCTTATAATGATAAATGAGGTATCCATTATAGCGTTGACCCGAGAAGATTTCAAAGTAGGTGCAACGCGTAAAATTGAACGCAGAAAGAGAGGGAGCTGTTCGTTTATTCCGTTAATACGAACGTAAATTATGCAGGATGCGGTAAAAACTTTTACATCTTTCTGAAGGGAAAGTTAAATTCGTAATTTTTTTCCATTCCAATTTTTTTTTCGGCTCGGAGACGCTGAATATTCATTTAGTAGCCATTTGGAAAATGGCAGCCGCTAAATTTATCATTAGGAAATCATTGCATTGTCCCATTTATTCAAGGATCTCAATTATCCTACTTGACCCGAGAGTTGTCGAGTGAAGTTGACTACCGCGCAAATGGGAGAGACGGAAGATCAAATAAGCGAGAGAGAAGCGGATAGAAAGATAAATCAGTTGCCGAGCGGTCAAGCGTATTGCATTTGGCAAGATAATGAATAATGCTTCTCTAACAATTTTTTTTAAACAAGTATACAGTTTCATATTCTAAACAAAATAGTATGAAGTTTTTGATAAATGAACGTATATATTTTTTTGTGACAAAGTAATCCGTCGGTGAAATAAAAATTTTCTCCAAGCGCCTCGGCGATGTTTTATTTTCAAGAAACAATGCTGCGTTCTTGCATTCGGCTATCATATATCCCGAATTACATTATCTAAATGGGGAACATTGCGTGGCATGTCGTGTCTCCGGCGGGATCAGAGACCCTAAAGACGGAAATAAATCTCGGCGCTAGAGAAATCCCCGCTGTAGTTCTACAAGAGCGTTTGTCTTTCTTTTTCACCGGCGAAATAAGAAAATCTGATAAAGCGCAGGTTTGATCGATATTGAATCCTGAGAAATGTTATAAATTCATCTCCGTTAAAATAAGCTACGGTGATTAGGCGATAGTTTATTTCCGTAAATCTGGAAAATAAAAGGTATGAGCTTAATGGATCGTATCCTATTTTATTGTACACGCTTTAGACATTGCGTGCGTAATGAGCCCGGAATATGATTAATGTAAGTAAGCAAGCTAATTATACTAATTGCACCGTAAGAAGCGCGATATAACAATACGCGTTTTAATCCGATTATAAATTCTCTCGAATAAGTTAGGGTGACCCTCGCAGTAAATCTCTGCAGTGGATTACACGAGTGTCGCTAAAAAGTTGACTGGCATTAAACTCGGAGAATTGCAGAAGCGATATTCAAAGTTATGCGCAACTATGCGGAGTATGAATATTGAAATTTCCCGAAAATCTATAATTAGCTCTCACAATCATCACACGGTGAATTCGATAAAGAAAAACTGACGCGACTTTTACAGTCGAATTTGAATTGCCATTGGAATTGTATATGCGAACTTTAGCGCGCGAAATTTCGGAACTGCAAAATTCTCAAGGGAATGGCAGAAAAATGTCGTTGAGAATACGAGTCGGGAAAGCTTCGTCGAGTATCGCCGTCAAGCGCGCGTAAGGTATAAAAGATTGCATCGCGGGGGAAACTGCGATTGCTCCGGCACGATTCGTCGTACGACGTTTTCCATTCGGTATATTTTCCGCCAGTGACGTAGCCAAGGTTTACGAAGCCTTCCAGCAGATGAACTTAAGGAAGGTCCCTTCACCCATCATTTCAAACAACGTCGATCTCTGTCACCATCTTTTCCTCTGCCTTTTTAGCTCTTCCGCTCCTGTCTACTTTTCCTGTCATTTCAGCTTGTATTTTTTATTTATTTTTCCCCCTTTCCTAACCCCTTTCCCTTCTTTTCTATCTTCTTCACTTTTACCCCTTTTTTAATTTCTTTCTCCTGTTTCGTTTCGGAATCTTCAGTTACGCCATTGCTTTTTGCTCGCCGTTTTGAAGCTTTTCCAGCACTCTACCGTTTTATTGCACGCCCGGTTTAAAGCTTGTCGCTGCGCCGCGTTACATCTCTCGTAGATCGAACTTCTCTCGGTAAACGGCAATTATCGATGTGCACGGCGTGCACGTGCTTGCATTGGAACTAATTTAATGACTCGTATCCGCTAAATCGCGGGACCGGCTCGGCAGACCTTTAAGTCTAACTGAAATAAAATAATTTGTCGAATGCGGACGGCATGCGGTGGCGACATACCTTCCGAGATTCGGTGCACGTGTATCAAATGCACTGATATGAGTGCGGCGGCAATCCATCAAAAGGGACTTATCGCGATGTCATACGTGAGCATATTTCTTGTTCGATTTATCACGGAGCAGTGACAAATGAGTGGCGCGAGAAGAAGTTACGATGTGATTGCGAAATTGCGCATTTCCAGAGATCGGCCGATACCAATGGCACACACGTTAAACCGTGAAATCGAGCTAATTCAGAAAATGGAACAATTATCGCCCGCTCGTTATATGAAATCGAGTATACGTGTAGCGGTTTAATGTTTGCTCCGTTTACGCAACCGTATAATTTGGCATGTGCAGGTCAAACCGTGTACCAAGATACAATCAATTTATAAATATTTTCCAGTATTTATGTGTATATATTTTCCAGGAAAAGTAATTTTAGAGAAAAAAGACGAAAAAATATCGATTTTTAAGTGGTACGCATTCGGCAACTCTCCCCTATTTTCCAATAATTTTCATTACGCCTCTTTTTCTCAAAATCCAATATCGAGTAATCGCTTTTCATTACACTAATTCTTGCTATCAAAGAAGATAGATCTAGGCTGCATACTACCTTGTGCTCGTGCAATTTCGATTCACTGTGAACAGATTTCTCTCCTGTGTCTTTAAATGCCATGCAGGAATGAGCGCATCGTTCTACGTCCTGTTTAGACCCGCGGAAACAATTTGTGCAGTGCAGTCCCTTTTGTCATTGCAAGTCACGCGACATTTCTCCGTCACGCGAAGAATACGATTGTTGAATAATGCCGTATTCAGTACTTCAACAATAAAACATCATCGACGCGCCATGGCCGGTCGCGGCGGCAGAACAAACGCGTATGTGTTGTTTTATCGAACAAAAAAGAATTTCCTACGCTGAAACGTTATTTTTTTCAAATCAAACTGACCTCGCTTGGAAGGCGTAAGACCGGAAGATACTGCATGTTTATTGAGCGCACGGCGACCGCGATCCGTTGTGCGTCCGTTACAAACAGTTTCTTGTTAACTTCCGCTGATATACAACAATATCTCGGAGTAGAACCAACATCGATAAGCGAAAGGACTAAATTAAATGTAAACTCGGTGCGCAACTCGTAGACTTGTAAGATAAGGCGCGTCGCCATATCGCTATGTGAATCAAAAAGGTTGCGCATGCGATGAGAAACCGTTTGTGTGTATGTGCGTGTGTGTTTTTGTGAGTGAGTGTGTGTGTGAGAGAGAGAGAGAGAGAGAGAGAGAGCGCTATGGCAAAAATGCGGATGCATTCTTTCTAAAAATATCGTAGTAAAGAGGCCTTGAGCGTCGACGTTTAAAAATATTTTCCAAGCGCTTCTTTGTATCAGCGTAAGTTGTAACGCTGCAAGAAGGTTGCAGCGCAATTTTCCAAACAATAAAAGGTTATACTCCTAGAATAATGAGCTATAGATAGGTAGAAAAATAAGATAATTTTTATCCTCATAAATAGTTGCGAGAGACATTTTTTTTTACACAATCAAGCTTTAATTACACTTTTTGTGCATAAGAGAGTTATAAACTGCAGCTGTGTCATTCCTCCGTTTTGCGTGATTTCGCGTAATTTCGTAATAATTAGAATCTAGCTGGTGCTATTCAAGATCGACAGAGACTCCCTGGAAATGCTCACCCCAATCCGTGCAACCCTCCACCTACCTTGTAACTCCGAAGATATCCCCAGCAATGTTGCGTGGTCATTACAAGCTATATTAACAATTACAAGCTCTCTTCGCTGAATTATGCAAGAAGTTACATCCCGCGCGCGGTAACTGCGGCACGTGAAAGAGCGTCGTGTAGAACATCCCGTTCGTTTTCGTGAACAACTAACTACCTACCTTGCTCGTACCAAGTTGACAGTACACCATTGTAAGCCGGAAGTAGTCGTTAAATTATGCATTAGGATATGTATTCAGGTGTGCAGAGAGAGGATCACTTACAGCGAGATTTCAGATCGGAGACAAACTTGCATGCTACCGTGTACAAGAGCGCCAGTGGAATCGGTTATTCTATAGCTACCCTTTATGCATTCATCGATCACTGCGGCTGTTTAATACGAAATATTAAAGTCTTATTACTTAATGCGAAAAATTGGTGTATCGTACAAAGAGGGGCAATATTACACGAATAATCTAACGGATAAAATGATAAAGCAAACATGTAATTCGATGGTCATTACATTTCAACGAGTATACAATCTAGTATAACGCGTGTAATGTTTGTATATATTTGCGTGTGCGTTTGCAACGAGTTGACTCAGTAATGAATACCTGCAAACACTTTATATGTCTATAAGCTATATTTTTCATCAAAGTAATTTAAATAATGGACACATTTAATTTTCCCAAATAAAACTTTTAATATGCCCATTTTATTAATTACTACTTACAAAATTAAATATATCCAAAAATTATATTATTATGATTTAAATTTAATGGCATATGAAACTTTGGCATACGGAAACTGTAATGATTTTATTTCGTAATGTACACGCAAGATATATATATCATTCTACCATTCTTTTTCTAATTATTTTTGCTGTAATGTAAAAAAATATGAGTTATTAATTTTTCTAAAGCGTATCGATTGGGAAAACTTATTTCAAAAATGATTAAGAAGCTTTTTTATAATCGTCCGATGAAATATATGCCTATTTTTATTGAAGAATGCACACAAACAACAGTAATTTACTAACTATGTATCTCTATAAAGGCTATGTACAAGCAATAATACAATATGCATTCTACCCAATTATAGAGAGTTTCGTGTTTTATAAATCGAAAAATGCATTCAATCCTTAGCAAGTTAGCAGCATTTTCCCATTATATCATGTCTATATGCGAGCAAATCTAATAGAGCCCAATGCCAGTAAATTAAAATCGAGTTTTTAAAACTAAAACAACATAAATAGAAAACATAGTGTGCTGCAGTTTGTACTTACTGTTCGCGTTCCTCCAGATGGACCACCCGAGTACTGTCTGTGTTTTGTTTAGCAAGTCCAAATTAAAAAGTAGAGCAGAAACGAATCAGTTTCGTGTTAGTGAAAACTACTGAATGAACACATGCTTGGCTGCCATAACGTTACAACTGTTATTAATTATGAAGATTGTAAATATTTGTTCGACAAAAATTTGCAAGAAAAACATTTTTTTTTTGTAAATGTATATATACAATTACTTATATATTATAAAATTGTGCATCTTTTAACTAATTAAAGATGCATAATTTTCAAAGCAAATATTTAATATTTTTTATATTATTTTCTTATATTATATTTTTTATATTACGGCGAAAATTTTTTAAATAAAGAAAGTGTATGCTGAAAATGCTAGCCAAAAATTAAAATAAATGAATATCCAGACACTGAGAAACAATTGATGCACACAATAACTTTCATATTCTGTTGAATATCTACATGCTGGTTAAATGTGGTTTGTGAAAGTTATATTGTTAAAATTACATACGATTAATTAAAATAATTCGCGGGAAAGTTGGAAATGAGATGAAAAAACTCGAGCAATTAATTAGTACTGCGAATACGAACGTACTCTTCGCCGCAATTATCATGGAACGATTAACTTTAAGCGGCATCTGTACTGAGAAAAGCACTGAAAATATGTTCCAAATTTATTTCGTGTAAAGTACCACACCTAGGAAACAATATTATATTGCTCTACGAGAAAAACTTCGCATTCGTATATCGATCATCAATTAATGTTTATTCTTACACACGGTAATACGTGAAATCAATGACAACTAAAATCCAGTTATATATCGAAGAGCTCAGATTAATCTGTGCTACTAATCCAAAACTAGCCATGTGGTCTTACTACAATATGAAAGAGATTTCATTTATAACATTTTATTTATAACAAATGCAACTTGACACAATGAGAATCATCGTTGTATTGTTAGATTCGTGTCAATGCTTATATTATTAGATGTCATGGATGTTATTATTTTCTTCATTATTAAATTAATACATATAGAAGCATATAAAGTCTCTTTGGAATAAGTATGGAATATTCGTTGTATTCAGATAATAAATTGTGTTAATTTAAGTTAAATTTAATTTATGAATGGAAAAAGTTTTTAATTTGATTTATTTTCCAGATTAAATCCAAATTAAATCATTCTCTACATATATCCTTTGTCAATTATTACAATATTAGATTTGACATAAATAATTTTGCATAGTATTCTGTTTTGTATATTTAATTTATGCGGCATCATGTTCAAAATATTTTTGAATCATTATTTTAATGATTAATTATTAATAATATGATTAACATAGAGCAATGTGATGTTATATTTATGTTTTAAATTTTACTTATAACAAAAGAGAGTTATTAAAATCGGATTAATATTGATCAACGTTATAGCAGCGTAGCATGTATTTTTCTTCTTAATTGTTCATATATGTTTCCATCTAAATGGAAATTTAACGTTGTTTAGCTACGTTATACAGAAATATCAAATGGTGAGCATGCTTTTATTCTACTTACAATTAGCATAAACTATAATATATAAGATAATATAACATTGTACACGATGTGTAATATATCTACATTAGTTTACGCGAATTAACAGAACTTTGTCAGAAAATAAAATACTTTTTTTTTAATAATATACTTGGTCTGCAAATATGTAATTATTACATGAATAAATCAATTAAATATTTTGCATTATGTGATTAAAATAACTTTGATATACTTACGATTACACGTGATTCAAGCCATTATTTGTTACCATTATTTAAGAAGCTTTATCAAATCGAATTGAATTCTTAAAACAATTATAAAGTGAGCATAAAATAGTGAATTAATAATTTTAAAAACTCAAAAATGGTGTGCTGTTAACTACATGGGAAAATACTTTTTGCATTAACAAAGATAATGCGAAGTATACTAAGAATGCGAACACAGAGATGATATTACAACACGTTTTACTGGCAGGAATAAAAAAATTTATTGTCAGGGTATACGGAAGAAACATTATTATTGTTCGCAATATTATTTTTTGTGTCTAATTGTAATAATCATAGATTTAGGAAGGCGAATATATTTTAAGATAAAGACACATTGTTATTCTCACGTTTCGTCAGGTGCTATTTTGAATATCTGTATATACAGACGTAAAACATGTAATATATATCGATCATTTAGAATTTAGATCGTTGTAATTATAGTTACAGGCTAGCGGATCAAAGATTTCTTCGAAGCCTTATCAAATATGTATTTCGGATACAAATATAACGCAGATTCGGATTTTGCTTGAAATTCAGTCTCTTGAGAATGTAATCAAATAAATTATTCCCATGCAACAAAATTAAAAAATTCCACGATAGTCGAAACAACTGTATAAGTTATCGATACGTCGTGAAAAGGACTCGAAGAAATCCCATTTTACGATCTATGTCATGCAAATCGCTGCGGCGAGCGAACGATCGCAGATAACGACATAATATATCAGAGATAACTTACATTTCATTTGGCTACGTTTCCGTCGGCAGACGATGTAAATGGCCACGCAGATTAGTATTAGGACTAGTATCATGACCACCGCCACTACGATAATAATCAGTAGCAGATTACCCTCCAATTGATGCCACCATGGTATATGACCTGTAACGCGATAGGTTGTAACGTATAATAATCGATAATGATGTATAAACGATATGTACTGAAGGTCGTAAGAATAATGATGTATGAATGGCATTTTCATTGTTTCTACCAAAATACAAAAATACTGAAAGTGATATACAATGATAAATGGTACATTTAATCTATCTGTAGCACGACTTTTGTCGCAGACAAATATCGCTAAAATTATCGAAAATGTGTAAAATTGAAATAAAAAGGCAATGAAAAGGCTCGATAATTGAAAAGCGTCATATATTGTATTTTAAATTCATATAGCTTATCTAGAGATAAAATAGAAGAATTTTTGTTCCCGTTATGACAACAAGAAGTAAAATAGAAATAAAATTTTACAAAGCATTTTTATTTTATTCACTTGCGCAACACTCTGTGTACCGTGATATATTATATTACGTTTAAAACTGCAATTAAATTTTTGTTAAAAATATAAGAAAACTATATCATATTGTTGTAATATATTGGATACTAAATAATAAATATATATTCACACAAAGAGTAATCGTATATAAAATTTGAAGTGATATAAGTACAACTTACTTTTAGTTCCATGGTGGACTGTAAAGCGATAAATTCTTCTAAATATTTGTGTGATTAACATATTAAAAGCTATTATCTTCGTTACAAGTTGAACAAATAATTACGTAAATACGTTGCAAATTTATTCCTCAAAAGTACTAAATAGTTATTTAATATGATACAGATAAAGAAATATTAAAATTACGAAATAGTTACAATTTTAATGATATTTATTTGAGATTATATTAATTTGTTGCAGATATTTTGAAATTTACGTTACACTTCCGACGTCATTATAGAGGTTCGATTTCATCGTAAATATCTGTGTGTAAAATTTATTTATAACATGTAGTAACTTTGTTCTCTTTATTTCGAAAAGGTTTTAATCGTATAATGCAAACTTATAAATTCTGTGCACAGTCGCAAGGTTTTCGTATTACACTGCTATTCATTTTTTTGGGGTGGTATGTCTTTCTCGCATTTTTATCGATACAAAAAATTAGTTTCGGAACACGGACTATTTTCTAATAATTCAGGGAAAACCGTTTTAAAAAATACCGCTCAAGATATAAGCGTGATATCTCAGCAGATCAATGAAAAGTTCGTTGTACCAACCTGGTATGTCGCGTTCACACGCTACAGAATGGCCGATTGTGTTGTTCGCCACGCACACGTACGTCCGGAAGTTAGTGACTGAGGTATCGAGGAGCATGTAACTTCTTCCGCTTCGTATTACCGCAGCTTGCTCTAGCGTGTCGTTTTCGTTCTTCAATGACCAAGTGAAATCCGTTTCTTTCGGATTAGCGACGGCTGAGCAAACGACGTAATCCTGGCCCTCGAAACGTTCTTTCTCTATGTGGCATTCCGGTTTAACTGCATGGAAAATATGGCATCGCCGTTAGATGTCGAAAGCGGGAAATAAAGAATTGAGGTTATTTTTTAAAGGATATAGGATTATTTACAAGGTATTTTAAGGAAACTGTCAAAATACCAAACTTTGCATTAAAAAAGATGTTTTAAAGTCTAGACTCCAATTATCGAACTAAAGAGACGATTAAATATTGAATGTGGAAAGCATGATTAAATATCTTTTATACGTCACTTTTTATAAACTGCATAAATGTAGAACGTTCGAGTTTTTGATTATTCATTTGAAAGTCTAAAGACGCAGTAGAACGTACATTGCACATTCATGATCATTGAGATATTCAAAGAGCCATGACGATTCGACGCCTCGCAGTAGTAAGTGCCGTTACTGCGTCGTGGTACTGGCATTTTCAAGTCAAACACGTGGCCTTCCATAATGGTATCAGTGGATCCTTCGCGGAACCACCGGAAGTTTGCTTTCGGTCGTGCTTTCGCGTTGCACTCGACGGTCTCCGGTATTGTGTCCACTATCACATTAATTATCTTCTTCGATATTGTGATATCCTCCGGAGGGACTTGAATAAAAAATTAAATTTAGTCAGCCACATACATATATCAATACAAATGACTAAATAGTCGGCGCGATATTTTAATTTTAAATCGAAGATCAAATTTCTGTATACTTCTTTATTTTTCTTTTTTTCAGGTTTAGAGAAATATTTGTTGCGTGCTTGAAATGATTTTACAGAAACGCGTTCGTATTTTGTATTTACAATAAACATATAATAGTAAGACCTAAGTGGCATTAAGTTAAACGTTCTTTATACTTGTGCGAGTAAAACATTAAGTTGAGAAAATTCTCGCTTACGGCGCGGAACGAGAAGATCTTTGTTCTTTCACAATCTTGCTAAATAAATGGACCGTTATAAAATGGAATGTAAGCAAGTGGAGATATTGCCGTGCAAAAAGAAAGATTCGAATGAAACGTACACTCGACATGAAAGTGAGTACTACTCTCCACGCCCGCACCGATCCCGTTGCTGCTGCTCCTGCAGGTAAATTTGACGTTATCCTCGGCACGGTCGAGCTGACCGTTCGGCCAGACCGTCAGATTCCATACAAGGGTCGATTGGATGCTCTCGAAGTCGTTGGTCCTCGGGTCGGGTGGATGATAAACGTTCGACACGTAGTATCGATTCGTTTTCGTGAAGTCCATGGGAATGTCATCCCTCAGCCAGGAAATATTGCAGATTGGGGCGCATTCAACCCAACACATGATGCTCACGTTAGGCGAGCTGTAGACGTAGCCGCGATACGAGTGCAGCTTCTTAATGAACGTCGGGGCCGCTAATGAGAGACGATAACTTTCGGTTAAGCATAATGGGATTTGTCATTCAATAATTATGAGAAACGTCGACAATCTATTACGTCGTGTACGGGAATAGAAGCTCCTTAACTATTATATAACGTTTAATATAAAGCGTTGATGTCTATGTTAGATTTATCGCGAGACTAGACGTATGTTATATTAAGCAAATAAAATTGAGAAAGAGGGCAGTATCTATCTTACGATAAAAATATACAATTGTCGAGAGTTTCTTCTATAACTCTTGAATTTAACTTTGATAAAAAGAAGAATAGATATCATAGATATTTTGAACGTACGAACGAAGTAAATTAAATTATTATAATAGAATTCTTGAACAAGTTATTATTAGTCGGATAACCTAAATCGGGTTCTAAAATAAAATTCCAGTGATTGCTGGATATGGTTTTGGACGCGTGGACACGTGTCTAAATGAAAATTAAGGGCTGAGGTAGTACCTAATTTGTATGTATGTTATATAAAATTATACAGGACCGCTCTCAGGTCTTCTTAATTTAATTTAATTTAAAATAGACATTTTGAAGCGAAATGAACGTAATTATTCGAGTCCGTAAATATTATGTTATTGTTGGTTGGGTTTTAAAATGTCGCCATGAAACTCAGCAATTGCAGGACACGGTTTTAGACGCATTGACACATGTCACTCACCAGATACATCGATAAACGTTGTGGCTGGCTCTCCGTCACCGGCTTCGTTGTACGCCAGACATGTGAAATTCGCCTCGGTTTCCAAATTAACTGACTCGATGAAGAGCGTGGCTTCGTTCTCATCTGGAAGTCGGTGCCAGCCGCGCAGCCACTTGAAGCCTGACACCCTCGGTCGGCCGGGGTCCAAAACGAAGCAAGTGATGGATAACGCTTGTTTCTTCACCACTTGCCGAGGTTCGTACGTTATCGATGCCGGGCCGGGCTTATCTGTGGAAATGTTTCGGGGATGCGGAGTGCGAGGGAGAAATTGGTATACCCATGCTAAATATAATCCGATTAATGTAATAAGATATCGGTTGTGTACGTATGCAAGATAAAGTCCGCAATCGATAATTTATCGTTACCACTACAGTAATTAGTGCCGAGTATAATGACCACTTTTACAATGTGTTATTTCACAATATATTGCAAAGTCTCGAGATTACTAGTTATAATACAAATTAATTATAAATTTCTGCCGATAATTAATGCGAAATCGAAATTTAAGTGTACAGAAACATTTATAATTTTGGTTTGTTACTGAAAAAAATCCACGAAATCTGAAACGTATAATGGACATAACGTATTACAGCTGGGAAACATAATAGGCATCACCAGTTTCTCCCCCCCATCATCTCGTAGTAACACGAATGAGTGACATGTGACAGAGGACTTACAATAAACTACGACAGGCGTGCTTGGAGAGACCGGTCCCCAACCAGCCTCGTTTTTCCCCTCGCAGGAGTAGTTGCCGTGGAAAGTGCGGCCGACAGATTCCAGCAGCAGCTTACTGGGGTCGATGTCGCAGAACGCCAGTGATTCCTCGGAGCTTGATGTCATGGCAGTGCTGTTCCTCGAGCAGTCCGGAAGTTCTTTCAATAGATCCCCGTCCAAGTACCAACGAACGGCTGCCAGTATCGCCGGATTACCGGCGTCGACCTCGCACGTTAACGAAACGTTCTGACGATCCGCTTCGTTCACAGGTGTTTCCGGATCCATTATCACTTCCACCACCGGCTTATCTACATGATAAAACGGGATATATATATATATATATATATATATATATATATATATCCGCGCCGCGGTATAAATCTCGTGCAAGTTCGAAAGTACGTCGCGCGCCCCGAACTCTCGCTAACTTTATTCCCGATGTAATCGCATAGCTTTCAATGAACCTCGTCGTTTTCTAATATAAAAGGATAAACTGCGCCCCGCTGAAAGTTACCGCCGCGAGAAATAAGAAGATAAGGTTCCGCCGAAAGTACAATGGGATTCTTTCCGATTTAGATTTATTACTAACCGGAGCTTTATAAACCACGTAAGATCGTAGCGACTTCAGATCTTATCGACTGCTGTGTATTCAACGATTGACTGCTGTTATCTATCTTGTGATACGTACAAAAGACCGAAACCTGCACGGCGTCCTCGGAAGCGGTTGAGCCGGCATTGTTTTCCAAGATGCATTTGTAAGAACCCATGTCGCTAGGAGTCGCGTTTTTCACCGTGAGTGCTGTTTGTTCCGTGATTCCACCGTCATAATGTTCTTCGTTTAACGCTAATTCGTCGTCATCTCGTAACCTGCATCACCCGATTAAGGGGGACAAATAAAACGAAGAAATAGCGCCAACTTATTTTTCCAGATGTAAAAGCAGTGGCAATAAAACAAACATGTCTTTAATTCCGCTGCTAATTTGTCCAAGAGAACCAGTTTCTAACTCCCGCAGGGGAAAATGGTCGTCATTCTCAAGAATTAATTCATACTGGTACATATTTATGCAGTAATGGCCACTTACCATGTTACTTTTAGCAGCGTAGCCGGATTTGCCTCGTAGTCGCAGAATATAAAAAAGTCGTCTGTCTCGTTAACAGTTATGTTGTTCGGTTTCATTTTAATCATCGGCGGATCTACAACAATAAAATAATAAATATTAAAAACGATAATAATCCAGATTTAGCCGAACATGGAGAAAGTTGAGACATTTATCAGAGAAAATTCCAATGAAGGAGATCTAAATTTAACTGATGAGCACTTGTCAGGGAGAATTTCAATAAAGGAGAAGAAAATGTGATAATGGCTAAGTGAATCTATTTAATTAAAAATAAATAGTTCTTATTAATTCTTGAACGCTAATAGGTTAGTACAATTGATACTAGTGTATATTAATTCTATTGAGATACTTGTCAAGTCAATATTGAAAATTGAATATTTTAAACGCAGAAAGATTAACCTGTCATATCGCTATATTATTAGAAATAGACTGCGAAAAGGCAGCTTAATCTTTCCCGATCCTTTGTTTTATTTCAAGAATCTTTTAATGACTTAATTTTTTTATGAAGTAAAATTTCATCTCCTTTCGATGTCTAAGACCGTAAAGATCCTTTTATTTTCACGACCGCTTTCTGTCCAAGATGGATAACACAAAAACCTAAATTGAATGTAAAATATAGATGCGCTCGGGTCACAATATTATGCACTTAACGCAGGTCCTAGAAAACGGAGGATATATAAAACAAAATTCTCGCGTAAATACGTAGAGTTGCTGTCACGATGCAAGCCGGGGAGTTGGAAACGTGCCAAACTCGATGTCTGGAGTTTCTCGTTTCCAATCCATGGGTAGTCCTCGTTCTGGCTGCAAAACGAAAGTTTCTCCGCCATTTCGCACTGTAACTGGAAACATCAGGGAGATACACAACCGTCCGTCTCTTTTTGTCCGTTTCCGTGCTCACGTAATCAAGACATCACGTCCTCGATGAAAAAAAAGTTGTAACTGCGCTCCTGATTTTAGAGCTAGACGAGTCATAAATCTATAATAACTAATATGCTACGAAAGGATTAGCTGCATCGTTATTGTGGGATGCTAGAAAGAAATAATTTTCCGTTAATGTGAACTATTTTAATTCTTTTAATTGGGATTTCTTTTCGAGTAATAAGTTCTTGATGACTTTGTGAATATATTGTGAACGATGACATTGTAAATATATTTAATATCAGAGTTTGTATTTTTTAATTTTCGATAACGCTGAAATAAAATAACGTTTTCCAATATTAAAATTAACTATTTCATCGCAAGAAAATATTGTAAAAGCATCCACAAGTATATCAGCACAAGTAATCCATCGCGTATCGTTGATTTATTGAAGCGTGCAACTGGAAAATCGTATATAAACGTTGCGCGACTTATACGAGCCAATTCCTCAAAAAGGCAACATAAATATTTATCAAATAGCCAGACGAAAAATATTCTTGCGTTTTGAAATTTTTTAACTTTCATCATTTTGACATTTTCAATCGTTCTTTTTGGAAACTTTTAAACACGTTTACTTGAACTTCTGCAGCGTAAATTGAAGCCAGAAAGATCTTCAATTATATCTATTTTTCTTTTTCTGCTAAAATCACGATATATTTTTTAAAAGTTGTTGACTTGAGTCTAAAAATATAGATAGAAATATAGAAAGTCTTTTGCAAAGGGATAATAAAATAATTTCGAGTTTCAGCACAATCTCTTCATTAAAATGACGTCTTAAAATCTCGATCCTATCCTGTTGCTGTTGCGTGGAAATTGTATGTTTTTCATTTTATGTAGAAACAAGAAACAAGTTTTTAAATTCGACAGCATGTTAAGATTCTACTGATTGCTCGCGCCGCCAACGTTAATTTGCATAATATTATGCTGATGAATAGCGAACGGGTATGTGTAGAATTATTTATTTAAAGGATTTAGTTCATAAGGGCTAAGTGTATGCAAATGTTAATAACTGCTCTTGTAGCTCGCAGTTTCCCGTAGATGCAGAATATGCTCGCTGCGGTACGGAAATGTGTGAATTTCGGGTTACAATGCAATCTTGTTGCAACAGTCGTTGTTTTAATACTATTAATCAGTACTTGTAACTATTAAAAATTACAAATTTATGCGCTTTTATTATTACTCATGAAATGGTTAGAAGCAGCTATTACATAATCCAACTTGCTTGTAAAATTTTTGGATGTTTGCTTAGATAACATTGGACTTTGTCTTTCCCCGAGCTAATCCAATCCCATTTGATTCCATATGACAATTTTGATTCCAATCTCTTTGCGATTATTCCTTTTAAATAAGAGACATACATATAATATATAAGTATACATATTTTTCTCTTAAAAAAGTTAAAATTTTACATTACGCGAGAAAAGTAAATAAAAGAATATATACTGGTGAAAAGATTAAAAATCAAAATTGTCATAACCACAAAATGTATGCGAAAGAAGTTCTGACGTCAGTAATGACTAATTCATCTCAACTTGTAATACTTACATAATACTTCGATTGTTGTTGCTTCCTTCATTGGCTTCAGATCTTCAGTACGAGTAACCGAATTCTCAGCGTAGCACTTGAACGTTTTGCCGTTATCGTATACCGTTGCTGTAAACGCGAGATAACTTATCGTGTCGAATGTACCGTCCTCCTATGAACAAAAAGATTTAAACGATTAGTAGGAAAGTATCTAGCTTTTAATATTTATACCATTAAATTTTTAAATTAAAAAAGGCTTCTAATATGAGACAGAGGAGTTTCTGCTAAATTAATAGGCATTATCTGTTAGTTCCACCATGAATTCAGTGTCTTTGGAGTGAAATCTGTTTAGTGGAAAATTGATTGTTAGATCGTGTAATCGTTGCGAAAAAAGATTTGCGATTGAATTTGGACGATGAAAACTTACTATCTCACATTAGAATCCTATCTTATAATAGAGGACTTTTCTCTAATAATAAAAGTAAGCGTGATAATTTAGAATAATTTAGATCGTTATTTATAAATCATCTTTTAGCTAAAAGTAATGACATTGATGTTTGCATACATGTATTCATTCTTAATTTCATTACTTTAAAATGTAGGTTATCGCAAAATTTAGCTCTCGTCGAGTGAGAGGTTTTTCAGGTTATTTCAAATGACAGATAGCGTGTGCGTAACTAATAGGGTGAATGCGTTATAAGAGACACTTGTTGAAACGACTTTAAAGAAGAAAGAAACAGATTTACGACTCGGAATAAAAGACATTAAAAAAAACCGTTAAACTTAATTTTAATTAGTCCGTTTACTTTCTCACAATTTTAATTTATCCAACTTTGCTTACAAGACTAAGATGATCTATGAATAATACATATATATATATATATATATGCATGCAGACACAAAAATATAACTAATTCCATTAAGTTTTATCTGTTTTGATAGGATTTACAATATTAATTAATTCGTGTCGTATATTGAGAATATCCACGTTATCATATTTCTATGATACGTTTTGATCATTGTCGAGTATCACTGGTTCATCAAAAAATGCCGAATTTTTATATCAATCTCCAATTTGCGAAGGAAAAAATAACGTAATACTACGCGCATTTAAAGCTCCGCGTAACTTTAATAATTCTGTAATTGTACAGTGCAATTGAAAATGCAACTAACAAGCTGACCCATATAATGAGAAGGTATACCTTGTTATATTTGCGATAAAATTGATTACTTTCTTTCTAGTAATTGTATGTTTCATCCGTACTGCATGTATGCTGATTTAAAGCATCACGTACAACAATAAGTGATTATACAAAAGTCAAATTTATATTTGCCCAATAACGATGATTATGTGAACAGGAAATAATTTTAATGATATCTCCATATCGGAATAAAGAGAAATAAATTTATCTTAATAAACAATAATTTGCATTACTTTTTATGTAATTATTCCTTGAAATAATTTTCATTCCTTCAATCTTCCGTGTAAAATTAAAAATTGAGATTGTTGCTTTCTATAACTAAAACATTACTTTAAACATAAATTTTTTATTGACATGTAATTAAAGTATTTTCGATTATTAGCAAAAATATAATTTAATCACGTAGAACAAATCTTGTGAAAAATATAATTTAAATTATTTATCAATTAACAGAGTTTTATGCCATTAAAAAGATGCCTTGAATTATTCTTGTCAAATTTTATTTTTGCACAGTTCTATCACTATTATAATATTATTATTAAAATTGTATCAAAGAAAATGAAACCAAGATATTATATATGTGCACCAGTAGCCTTGTATATATGTATAAATTTTATAAAATATTATCTTTATAAAATAAATGCCCTTTATTTCCATATTCTTTTCCATAGAATTTTTTAAATAATTTGTTATTAACTGAAAATCTAACAAAAAGTGATGTACTTTCCCAATTATATGGCGTCAATCGATTTATCAGGAAAATCCGTACAAGTAGGTATACAGAAGAGCACGAGGTAACGCTTGTAGGAAAATTGTTGTAAAGCCATCTCCCGCCGAGCTTGTAATATCCTCCTTCGCGCGAAAGTGTGTACTCGAGCTTAAAAATGTGATCCTCTTAATCCCGTGATGACGTGACGCTCATATCGGCAGGAATTTGTGGCGTGTAATTGCTTGCCATAGAAACCGCTTGCTGTGTCCTGAATGGGCCGTATCGTTGCTCGTTCCATAATCAGGCTCACTTAGTAAACAATGCTAATTATGACGTCCCAATCATATGAAATTGTAAATATTAGGAATATATAATCGCAATTATGCGAGCCAGCAATTTAATTAATAACGATTCGTTAACTTTGCCAACGCGCCGAGACGTAATGTGTTGATGGTTCCTCTTTAAACATCGTTAATTAATACCGCAAAGTGAATTTAATTCGTCGCATGCGTTGTCTTGCTATTTCACGTTATCGAACGTTTATCTCTAGTTTATTAAAATAAATACATTCTTTTATTTGTAAAATTATTACGCGCAAGATAATAGAAGGTAACCGCTGATATGTAAATTATTGTATACTAAAATAGTGATTTTCAGTATTGATTTAATATAGCAGATTTACTTTTGACTTAATGATATTTCGTAATCGTTAGTTTAACTTGTGTATACGTCGACGTACAGAGAGCGGAATAATAAAGAAAAGTGATAGACGTGGATGTTTTTGTTCCGCGGGACAACATTTTTCGCACATAAAGAACCCTTTGTTATCGAAACACAACGTCGTTTTATCTACCTTACGACTTTTAACTGTGACGACGTTTTTTTTGCACTAATTGCATCACGTAGGTGCGGGCGGTCTCGTATACAGTCATTTTGCGTGCACGCGGCTTTATAGCTTCAGATACTTCCGTAATGGATTTATGATAGCTGCGTGACGCCTACGACTTCTGCATGCATATACGTATACGCGATAGCGCAACGGCACGACATGTAGAGGGGTCTAATGATTTTTCGATGCCGCCACTGCCGTGCAGCTACTCGTTCAAGCACGAAATTGATTTTTTACAAGTCGAGAATAAAACAGGACCACGTGACTCGAAAGTAAATGACGATTCCTTGACGCTATCATTTCCAAACAATTTCAGTTTGCTCCATCCAATTATTCCACGACCAAAAATTAATTAAAAACATATTCTGTTTAACAAAGAGCCGTTGGAATTAATTTAATTCTCTCGAGATTTTTGCGAGCGTCTTTCCATTGTACGAGCGCCAGCAGTTTTTGCGAGGTAGAGTGAAAAGAAAATGTGTGTTTTCAATCATTCTCATCCTGACGAAACAATGGAAAGATAAATCGCAAGTGATGCGGTTTTTTTTGCGGGCAAAATTCCGCTTTTAAACAAATCTAAATTCGAAAAGAAACCCCGAGAGGCACATCGATCGATAAACTGTCGAACTTCCTAGATTCTAAATTCGTTTCGACTGCAACACTTTTTCTGGAGTGAACACGAAAATTTGTTGCCGTCGCAAAAACGTTAAATGGGAATTAAAATATACGATAGATGCTGTACCGATCGATTTAGAATTTCCCGGTAGGTAGTTTTGCGAAGTTTACTATGGCACTTGCGAGTCTGTACGCTTTCGCCGAGTAAGTAACTGAATCAAAACTTTTGCGCGAAGCGCTTCTCCCATTCATTGTCGCATACCACCAAACATGTTTATTCTGTACATTTATTTAAATGCAAATCGCGGTGAGGTCGACGCAAAAATTCGAGCCTATTAAGAATCTATTGTACATCCTGGAACTCTATGCAGATTACCTAGTAATGAACGCGTTTGGTGAATGAAGAGATCTGTTTTATTAAAATCTATTCTTTTTCTATTAAAGAGAAACAATTAACAATTTTGCTACATTTTAACGACTTTGTTTTAAACAGCAATGCCAAAGTAGCCTTGTAGTTAATTGACAAGTAAAATATTTTAATCTAAGACTTTTAATTGTAGCCCTACTTTGTAAGAACAATAAATGGATAACTTTACGATAGAAACGGTAGATGTGTATTTTTTTTAGTGGCAAACTATCAAACAAATTATCAAACAAACTATCAAACAAACTATCAAACAAATTATCAAACTAGCGTGCATTAAAAATCGTGTGCATTACAATTTACAATTACAATACCGCCGAGTCTACTCACGTTTCCCTGTATTTTCGTCTCAAACATTTCAAATCTCTCGTTGCTCTCGCTTAGGTAGTGCGTTCCGTTCTTCCACGTCACATTGGCGGCAGGTCGTGCGGCTTGCACCGTACACTGCAATAAAATCTTCGTTCCTTGCACGACGTGACCAACCACCCCGTCCAAGTCCATCTTCAGCGGACGTACTGTAAAGAGAGTAGACAAGTGTTGGAATAATAAATAACGGAAGACCGGAATAGCACTCGATTAAATCGAGCTAACTGCGACACGGCATTAATAATTAATAATAATAAAAATTTAGGTAAAATCTTGACATTTATTTGACAACAGTTAAAATTATACTTCGAATAACGACGATTTCCTTTATATTTTTACCTTGTCCTTTGAGCAATATTGCAGAAAAGAAAGGAGAATATTTTAATATTGTGGGGACTTTAAATAAATTAACGTAGGTCTTCAATTCTTTTTAATCGCATCGTGTAAATTATATAGTATACAATATAATATTATGATATAGTATAGAATATAATATTATAATATAATATTATATAGATAGCATAATATGGAACAATCAGATTAATACATACACATATTAATATGTATTTATTATTCACATTAGCAATTATATCCTAAATATACATGTTAACCAAATAATCTTTTTAAAATCAAAACCAGCCACTTGGTTTTATCGGCCTGTACATAAATTTGAAATAATTCGGAGACCCTTGTTTATTGACAATTATTTAACATTTAGTGTTCTTCATGATAATTTGAGTCGTGTAAACCGACTGGAAAATATATTATAGATTTTACATGTATCATGACTACGTTATTTTCATATTATAAACTAGTTAGCACATGTACGTGCTCTTGGTAAAGGAAACACATGAGCAGGCAAGACCCACTTGTGTCTACCAACGTCCGCTACTATCTTTTATGTTCTTGCGTCGTCTAGTATCACAATGAACGAACTGTAAATAACTCATTACAATTTAAACCGTGACTTTCTAACATTGGAGGTTGGTATCGCGGATTTACGGCGGATGTGTCGCAGTAAAGCCACGAAGCTCGCACTAGTCTAATGTAGGTAAAGTTAACCCCTCTTCCTCACCTACGAGAAAATTGGCTTCAAATAAATCGATAAATTTTCGTTTGCGTATTCCCGTACAATTTCATTTTTCGTTTGCACATCCTTCATAATGAAGTTACAAACAAGTAACATTTAGCGAGAGGTCAAACCAGTAAGCAAATAAAGATTCGAAAAGTATGTATGTAAAAGTGCAAACGATAAAATCAACTATTCTGACTGCTTTCGATTATATTTCAAACTGAGCTACTGCAACTGACCTGTTCTGCTCATCAAATTTATCTGCATATAACTTTATTTTTAAAAGTGTGCAAACAAAAAATCGTATTGGATGGATTTGTGCAAACGAAAATCTATAGTTTAAGACTATTTCAATCCAATTTTTTAGTCGAGGGATTTATTGGCCCCTTCAAAATTCTTCCGTTAATAATTTTTGTACCGAAGGTACAAAAGCAGACAAAAATTGGAATACACGTGCAAACGATAAGCAATTGAATATACTATAGAGTTCTTTTCTTAAGTAGGTGAGCTAACTTTATACTGGCGTTCGCACGTCGAATTTGGCGATTTCCATACTCGTCTGTCTGATGTACGGTCGTTTCTGTGTATCAACCACATGAAACACGGCCAACAGTCACTCATAGGCGCCGTGTAATGACGATCGCATGGTATCTAGGCTCCGCATGACACTGAAGCGACATTAGGGTTGGCATGTGTAATTGAGGGTAGATCGACATGACTGCGGATACGTGTGAGACGCGCCAATTTCGACAATTTCATATCGTCTTTCATCTTGCATCGATATTATATTCTTTGCAAATGTATATAATTGACTTAAAGATACAAAAGAAGCGATATGCGCGAGCAATTTGGGGTTTATGCATATATTTTTTCTGAAGTCAGTCATGGTACAAAAACGGTTAGATTATATTTTATAGATTTTAAAGGAAGAGGTGTGTAAGATTTTTACGAACTTTGGAAGCTTCACAGAAATATTGGTATTACCCATTGCAAGTATAATATTTCGTGCCACGTGAGTGATAAGAACAACAGTCTGGTAATACCTCGCACGATATGAATTATTTATATAGCTAATGACAGTATTGTTATCCAAGTAATTGTTATTTGATACATAGCCGAGCAATTATTTGGCTGATGGTTGTTTATTTAGCATTTGGCCGAAATGTGTGTATGTCGTTCTAGCGACAGAGATGTCGATGGACAAGCGTGATGGACAACTTTTCAATGCTTGCTCCGGGACCGCGCTTATTCCGGAAACTCACGGTTAATGGAATATTCGAAAACTGTCATTTCAATATCGTTAAATCGATCCGGAAGCTCCTACAGGGACACACAGCTTACGATAAAAATGGCTTATAGAACCGTGTTAATCGGTGACGATGCATATCCGTTCGCTGTACATGTAGGTATATCCATTAGCGCCGATAGATTTCGCGACGGGTAACGGTGCATCACGGTGCACCGTGAAACCCACGATCGAGTTTCCCTCGAGCTATTATGCATACTTGGATTTTTGTACGCGCATTAAATTTACCAGAACTTTCACAAAATATCTTGTAGCAAACTATTTTACATTTAAATAGAACTTTTTGTAAGTACTGTCAAATTAATTATACGCGTATCTATGCATAAATTAAGATGTTATTGCTCTTAATGAGTGTCTCGCGAATATTCTCGCGAGTATCCTAGTTTGTGAAATTCTTTTCCGATGAATTAGATGTACGTTGTCGCGACTGATAGATTTTAATTACATTTCAAACTTCAACGTGCCGTAGTTTTTTTTTCTTACCGCAGAACTAGCGATTATTAAATTGCGCGATTATTATACGTGGTTTGGTATTAGTGGGTTGGTCGTTGATGGTTCTCGCAAAGTCATGCAGAAAACATCGGCCGATAATTCACCGGCCAAACTCGGTGAACGGTATTCAATACAAGAGGAATACGAGAAGAAAAGGCGCAGGATTCGAATAGAGAACGAATGGCGAATCTAATATCGGGAATTGCATTTGCCTTCAATTGCACTCCCCCCTGCCTGACTGCGGATATAGAGAAACGAACAAAGAACGACAGAGACGGGAGGGGGTGAGTGAGTGAGAGAGAAAAAGAGAGAGAGAGAGAGAGAGAGAGAGAGAGAGAGAGAGAGAGAGAGAGAGAGAGGGGGGGCAGAGGCGGCAAAAGGGGGTAAAAAGTCACTTTCTTTGCGTAAATAGTTTTTCGTTAGAAAATGTGCTGACGCTTTTGATCGTGGAACAAATCTGCGCCCCGGCATTTACTTCGAATTCATATGGATTGCATTATAGAGGGTGTTTTATCGCACCTATGCTTTCAAGAGAGTAACGCGGATACCTTGTTCAATGCGAAGATATAACGTTTCGGCGACAGTTTACAGGGAAATTATGCTTTCAGTTTTATTAAAATAGAATCACCTTATTGAATTGTTAATTCAGAATTAGTTAGTTGAAGCTGCTGAATGTATTGCGTGCTTGCATAATAAGAAATAATGAACGATAAGCGGAAGGTCAAATTTTTGAATATAAAATTTCATGAATTTCCGAGAGCTTTCAACAATCTCTCAACAACTAATTTACGCTTAAATAAATATTGCATCCCTCAAGACACGTATATATAGTGTGCCGGAATCTCTTAATTTAAATATCGATTTTCTATAAAAGCACGAGGCAGCAAGGAACGCATTTGCGCAAAAAGTAATTTTAATTGTAAGTCTTCTTTCACGAGAGCTTCAAAATCTTCAGGAATGTTCTCTAATCACAGCCATTTTCAAGATGCGTCTAACATGACAGGGGATAAGATTCCTCCTTCATTCTCGTCGAAATTCACCGTTCAGCCAATTTCCTGCTCGTCCGAAAATTTCTGAGAGTTCGCAACCCGATAAGCTGGCTACGAGACTTTTTAAGTCCGTAGCCAGTGGCAATGCGATTTCCTGGTTTTGTTTGCCTATAAGAAGCAGGCTCCGCCTGAAAACTCCGTCAGGTGCCTGCTCGCGAGTTCTTGTCACTCCCGCAACCTTGCTTCCACGACTTTCAACGAGCAGCTGCGGGGGCCGTGAGATTTTCGCAGATATCCCGCGGGTATTCGCGACATTTCCTCTTTAAATTCACCGCTCAATCGTTAGAAACGATTCACTCGGAATTTATTTATATTTTCTATTGCAAACTGACCATGCTGAAGAATTTCAAACTACGCTTCGCATTTGAAATTCGATGGCTGTTATTTTCCTCTTCCTTCAGAAGTTTTCATATTGCTCGCTTATGTCTCTTACCTTTCAACACGCTGAGAGAAAATTTTTCATGATACGTTCATGGATCGAAATAAATAGTGTCGACGTTACCGAAGGTATTAAATGATATTGGTATCTATAATGCGATGTAACGATGCGGAAGGATAGTAGTTAGAAATTGTGATACAAAGGACAATATATGCGTATAATTATAATTATATTCTTGAACATTAATTATGTCCTAGTTTTTTACAATTAAATAAAATGAAAAGCGATAGAGAATATAAAATTTATTCCTATTAAATAATCGTGTACGGCGTGTGATTAGTTGATCTATAATTCAGGGTTTTATATCGATAAAAGACCAAGGCCTTTCACGATAAAACGGATTATAATATATCAATGCATTTTCTGCAATTTCATACTATCTAAATAATATATTATTAACCATTTTAACTACATTTTTATCTCTTTAACTGCATTTTTATCGGTTATCAGAAAGAACACGCAACACGTTCCCGGCTTATTGTTTTTTTTTAGCGCTTAATAATTCTTCGCCTTACTGTGCTAGTGCGTTTTTCTATCGCCAAAGGAATCCATTATGCAAATCTCATAATTTAATGAGAATTAAAATTGTTATTGCTTGACAATCAGTTAATATAATCAAAGTGCATTTCATTTGTCGGAAGAGCCTCGGTTCGCCCTCATTATAACAGTTACGTTACCTAAATCTAGTCATAATTGTTGAGAAACGATAATAATTATTGCGGGAAATTGATTTATACGAATAGCATATATGCCGACAATTCTAACACGTGCAATGCACATAATAAGGCTGTACTTTTAATAAGGTATTAATTTCTCTTTCGTCAGTATCGCATTATATTTATCATATTTATAGCGTCATATTTATTGTAAAAACTGCTTAAGTGCAAATAAATAAACGATTTAATAATAAGAGATCTGCGCGCAATAATTCAGTTTACTTATTAATCAACGCGCTTTCACGCGCGAGCAAAGACATTAATCCCGACTTCATGGTTAATAACGTGTTTACCGATACACCGAAAATTACATGAATTCGCATATTTATTTCTGCAGTGATATTACGCGGTGTAAAATTCGATTAACGTTAATAAATTTCTAATCGCAGCGCAAGAATAGCCTGTACAGCACATTAATTTCGTAAATTCATCAGTGATTTTACACGCACGCTGATGCGCGGAAATCCCTTTTCCTACAAAGTGATGGACATTTAATTACTTACAACATGCAAAATTCGTGCGCGCGGCTGGATACATGCTTAAATAATGTTCAAATAACGGATACGGCGCACTGTAATTACAAGTACCGCCGTAATGACGGGCGTATACTTTAATCGGCCAATTTATGGAGCGGCCGTGCATGTATGTGTGAAAAAAAATGAACGACAAAAATTTCTGATCAGTATTTTTAGCCCATTATTAGAACTGCGCTATTAAAAGGGAAAGAGAAACTACGTTTCGCTTACCTATAGGCGATGTATTTTCTTTCGAATTATAAAAGTATCCCTATTCTGTTCTAGAGACATCTGTATTGTTCATTAATATCGAGTAATTTACGGTAATTTTAAACGCAAGTGGGCAATAGGCAGTTTATTAAAGCCGTTTGAAATTTATATGAAAACCATATATCCGACGAAACAGAATAATTTTCTACTAAAATTACGTATTGGCGTGGAGTAGCATACGGTTAATGAGAAAATTCCATTAAGGTTTCTCTGTTGTACCGGTCTGAATTCTGGAGCAACAACTCTGTATTGTGATGATTTGATGTAACATATAATATAATTTATATTGTATTAAGCGCAATTATATTAAGTGCGTTTTCTCGTTGAATAATTAACAACGCGTGCACTGTATATTTTATTTCATTTATACATATCAGTTTGTTTGACGTTTTACAAAGTACCTCAATATAAAACTTCATTCCTGGATGTTAAGAAAAATGCAAGTATTTTATACACTTCATGAACTTGTCTCTTTGCTAAAAGTTTGCGAAATCAAGTACTTATAATCGATTTTTGGCCCTTTCCCATTATTTCAATTCAATTAAGCTGTATCGAAAAATGTATTAACAATCTCCCGCTGTGATAGTAAGTATGAAACAATATTATGTAATTTTACATCGTAAAATTTTCCACGTTAAATTTTACGTCGTTACGCTATGTGAAAATTGGCTTTATATCCGATACGAAAGATACCCGTTACATCCCATATAAAATTCTGTAGTAAAGTTTAAAAATATGTTCCGCCAGTTTTAAAAATTCGGCGGTAAAGTGGTTTACGACTGGTACGCGCAGTTCTGTCCGTGCAGAAATCCAAATTTGAAATGCAAACCACTTTTCCACGTACGCAATCGAATTTCGTGTACTCCCGCTTTATAGGAGACTTTTCAAAGCAGGATGTCTCTGCACTCACATACTCTCGTCGCGCGAATTTTAGGGATTTTAAGTGCCAAGCCATCTCTCAAAAGCGAATTCCGAACTTTGCATCCATAGATCGCTCGAATTGCATTATTGTGCGGTAAAATATGGAGGTGCGCGGCACGCTCGTTTTTTTCCTCTCTCTTGACTGTTTCTTCTCTCTTTCTGGCTACCGCGGCCACCGGCTAATTCGCGGTGAGATATGCCAGCGAATGCCTGCGGAACTGTAAAATGATTCCGCCCGGATGATATCTCGCGTTGAATAATTACGATGAGTAACGTTAGGACGAAGCCTTCGCTTTAACTACGTTGTTACGTTGTACCGAATGGAATGGCCGGTTGACATCTAAATTCCACGTTCCGAGAACACTTAACACAGCACGAGCACGCCGGCGAACATAATATACTTAGTTTGTTTTACAGTGCATAATATAGTACGTAAGCGTAATACGCATATTGAGTTGTGGATGTGCGGATTTAACACATTACTGAATCAGTTTGTTATAAAGTAGGTAACATGCATTATCAAAGGTGTTGTGGAGACAATAGAAAGCACTATCAACGAACTGCATTCGTACTGTACACACGTGTGGAATATATAAAAGGGATTAAAGCAATTACTAAGTTCTTAACTTATAGAATAATTAGTAACAGGAAGTTTTTATCGCAAATGCTATTAGGTTGTTGCGTATGAAATGGCCGTTTTTTAAATGAAACTATCACCAATCGCTTTCAAATGCCGAGTAATTGCGTGTGAGGCGATAAAACGTTCAGCGATATATTTCTTTTATTAAGCGATTAGAAACTCATTTAGCCATTTACTTTTTGAATAGAAAATATCTGGGTAAATTAGACTTTATGTTACTATTTTAGATAAAGCGAAATTTCTATTGGTTTCCTCACTCTTTCTCTAAGGTTGAAATAAAATTTCGTTCTCCACTAACGTTTTCGAATCACGATTCGTCCAAACTTTTTAATCTCTGAATTATTACATAACTTGCCTCTGACCTTATTAGGAAATGCTAATTGACATTGAAAGTTAAGCTAGTTCATATTCTGCAGTAGATACACTCTGTGCAAAAATTTTCCTCGTCTGGCTGCGTTGATACAGTGCTTTAGCCGTAGTGTCATTCATATTCATACCCCAACGGCGAGTTTACCCGATGTTACCCATGTTTTGATTTAATGAATAAACGATACCCGGCGGAATTGTTGCACAAATTTAGGTCAAAGTACCCACATTCGTTCATTCTGTTACTATGCTCGCATTGAGTTTGCAGCGAACCGGTTATCGAATTGCGTACTACACCGTGTGCAAATTATATCACGCGATCGAAATTGTAAGCGATCCTGGCATATAAGGCACATTTTCCCCATCGATGGAATATGCGATAATCGATTCATATATAGCCAATGCTTCACGTGATGACCAACGTATGCTTTTTAATTGACGTACATTGGAAAGCTTCAGCATTGATGGTCTGTCATATTGAGAGCTTTGTTATTACGTAATGTCGAACTATAGTAGTGAAAAAAATTGTCAGATTGTTAACTCAGCTGATAGTTTTTCGGTGCAATTTAAATTGAAGCTCGCAAAAAGGTTTTTTCTGTACGCGTGTAAATTTGATAAAAAATCAGCGAACAAAGGTCTTTTACGTTGTTAAAGATATTCAATCTCATATATGTATATGTTTGGCTTGACAGGTTGCAAATATCCAACTATTATTCTTGAATATGTGTACTCACCGTGTATGTCTGCTTTAATATCAACCGTGAGTGGCTCCACGAGTGCAATATTGTTGACTTTACACGTGAATGTTGCGCCTAACTCTTCTCGTGTAATTTGCATTTCCAGTAAACTACTGCCAGTACCAATTCCGGTATCAGTGATAGTCGACGAGCTCGTTGCTGAAATAGAATATTTCTTGATTATTCTTCTTAATAAGTAATATCGATATGTAGAATAATTGTATATACATTAAAATGTGCGTAGTAAAGAATTACAATGACGCTTAATATCTCTTTAATGATACACATCAAGTTAATAGGGTAATGAAAAAGAGAAATTCTTAAAAATATCATCGGATAACTAATCAATGAAGAAAACTAAGACTTCTTTTGTCTTTTAATATCCGCGTTTGAATAATGGTCCAGTGGCAATGCTTCCTTTACATTTTAATTCACATGCAACTTCACTAAAGCGTGGAAATAAATTTATACATTTGCAGCGTTCATTAATTTGATTCAAGTTACCACGTTATTATATATAAGATTAAATTTTACTAATTTATTATACGGATAAAATTGCGTTTGGTTCAATTGTATTTCATTTCACATAACTAGATTATGGCTGTATTGAAATATCAGATCGGTATCATCGATTTATTACTACGCAACATATTTATGGGATGATCAATTATTAATAAAGGCAAAGAGAGAGAGAGAGAGAGAGAGAGAAAATTAAAAATTATCAAATGACTAAATTATTTAATAGAAAAATATAGAAATAATAGAAAGATATGAACTTTATTAAAGAAGAAAACCTATCTTGTTTATCTTCTTTCAAATTCTCTCCAAAGTAGGAACTTATTACAGATCTGAAATATTATCCTATCGATTTCAACACGTAAGCATGTTGCGAATCTTACCTTCGAGTGGCTGGTCCACTCCATCCCTAAACCACTCGACCGTAGGTACAGGTTTGCCTTTTCCGCTCTCGCAGTACAATGATATTGTCGAGCCCTCATTTATAGGTCCTAAAGTGGTGCCGGTGCTCAGAGTATTCTTCGAATTTGCATCGATGACACGTACAGACGCTGGTTGCACTGGACATACAAAAAAAAATCATGTCAGAAGATTGTCCCGCTAGCCTCTTGGATTCGTATGAACTAAAAATTTTACCGTAGCTCCTATCTGTACTACGATATACTTATTAAGTTAGCATACAAGATTATATAATATTATTTTATCTGCGTCGTCCCCTTTAATGTATATCCGCACGACAAAAATAGCGCGCTTCTTTACGTATCTTATTTCCTGTTCGAATAAATGCATTCTTTATATACGCCCTTTGAGGGAATGACGTTTATTACGGAATTTCTTAACAAGAATGTACGGTCGTACACTCACTATTATGCACAAAGATAGTGCTCCGCGGGAACCTAGCCATTTTGCTTTGATGTTCGAAGCAATAATGAAAATGCTGCGTGAAAAAAATTGCATCTGCGATATCTTGGTAATAAAGTATTGGCCGTTTAAAGTTATATGCGAATCGGACGTTTCACGAAGTATCACGAACGTCAACGTTTAAAAGTTAATCTATTGTTTTGCGTTCGCACGCTATAAATAACGGTATACTGAACAGTGGGATTGCAGACGTACGTTATTTCGAGCGTATCGACATTCTCGAGCGTTCGGTTTCACGTAAATCGATGAACCGATTCGATACATTGCTCTATCGGTTTCATCGTAAGCAAATTTTATTCTTGGCGATTTATATTTGTTCCATATATTCTTCGTTTAAAAATCGACAATCTCATTATATTTTATACCTATCAATATCACTTCGCCATCATCGAGTAGGCCAATTCTCAGATGTTCTGTCTCCCATTTTATAAAAGAAGATATTAACAAATTGTCTAATATATGTATATATATATATTACAATTACGTTTTGATATAATATACTAAGTTAATGAAAATTCTATCAATCGCCTTTCTATTTCTCGAGAAACTTTTCCTCTTCTCCGATGTAACTTTCTTACGGCGAGGAGTTTAATCGCGATGTTTAGAAGTGTTATCACATCCAATTCCTTTCTCAGCACGTTCGATCTGATAAAGCTTTGTCTTCTTTGCGCGATGAAAGTAAACCGCGTGCCCTGAAATTCTGAGCTATAGTCACATCGATTTTCTGGCGTGAGGAGTCCCGCAACTTTCTACAATTCCTACGAGAGTAAAGTGACTTCCACTTATCGAATAGGCGCCATGTTCTTAGGACACTATAAATCAGATCCCCGGTAACACCTACTGAATGCACTCAGGCCGTAGTGTTCTATTACGCTAGCTGTCGGTGTATACGTACGCATGTATGTACATACGAATGCACCTATCGCATATGTACGCGAGACGTTTGCATGCATGCACGTATGCGCCCGGTGTAGCATTAGGGGTGCTTACGCGCAAATACCGTTTTTAAGGATAATCATACGGCAAAAGTGATTCAAAAGAATTGCTAATGATGGAAAGTACATCTACCTGCATTTTACGTGCATTTTACATGCATAGAAATAACTTTACTGCGGAACAGGTTCTCGTTATATTCACCGCTTTTGATATTCGCAGCTGAAAATGAAAATCTATTTATCTGCTGAGAAAATCGCCAGAAAACTTGCACACGTATAATATTGCTAAACATACCTTTAAATTGCATAATTAGGTTGGGAAATACGTGCGAATAAATTTACTTTTAAAAGAGGATTTAATATTATAAGACATTGACACGACATGTACGCTATATGATTTATAAAATTATGAAAACTTAGAGCGTAGATTCTTTTCCTTAAAAATGTGCGAACAGTTAGACTCAAATGTTGGAATATGTGTATATTGGACAGTACTTCTATTTTATGTTAATTAAATTGTCTGTTTTTTCTGGAGATGGAGATCAGATTATGTCATTGATGAATGGTAGAAAATTTGATTAAAGAACAGTCTCTTCGACATGTTTAAAAAATCAATTAGCTACTAAAGAATTTTTGCATTAAATCACTCGTGCAAAATAATCTGAAATTACATTTATATTTGACTACAATATCCTTTCTTCCGATTTAAAGTTTTTTTCTATCTTACTTGTAAAAATCGAAATTAATAAAGACAATTGTTTGTTAAATCTCCGCGTTTATTGCTTACATGTCGTATTTCTATTTTTGAAATATCCGCAGCTTACTTTACGTCAAACTGAATAAATCTTTATAACAAGATGATCTAGAAAGCAAAAATAATATTGTATATCGTTTATTGTGTATTTTTAAGTTTTAGCTGAGGTATTTTTAAGTTTTAGCTTAGGTAAATTTTTCGCAACAAAAATAAAAAATTATTTAGACACTAACAGCTTGGCTCTTATATCTTTTATTACTTTATATTGATGATGTGATTTCATGTCACAGCCTTACGAATTCTATATTTTAAGTTCTATTTCTGACTGACTCTGACAAGTCAAATTATTTCACATTTATCTGAAGTATTTCATATGTCATCACTTTGCGAAACCTAATAAAAGGGATTAGAGTTCCAATATCAAAGAGAAAACTACATTATTTTTCCAATAAATTATTTTAAGAACGCATTTTGTTCTTTGTGTTAAATCGCAAATTAGAAGTGTATTTTCGAAATTTATACACAATTGCGAAGCTTAGCAAAACTAGAGAAAAAATTATCAAAATTTCGTAATGTATATTCATCAAGATATTAAACATAAACTTTTATTAATTTCAAAAATCTTAAATCGAACATCGTCTATTCTGTTGAGGTAAACTTTTTAAAGTTGTATTTGTTATGACTATTGTAAAAAATCTGTACATATATATTTTATTTATCATATGTTAATATAAAAAAGTTTTTTAAAAACAAGATTTTTATGTCATAATTTCTAATTAAATTTTTACCTTGTAAATTTTGAAATAAATATGTGCTTAAAATAGGTAGGCAGAATCATGGAATTTGTCTACCATGCGTATACATTTGGAACCGAATGAGAGAAAAATTGAATATAAATAATTTTTTAAATATATGCGCGTATTATTAAACGAAAATTATCATGGTAGTGTCACTGACAAAATTGCAATAACATTGCGAAACATGACCTTACAATTTTTCTAACATGCCCGTACAGTAGTGCATACACACATGTAGGCATATTTCTTTTTCAAATAAAAATATCAAATAATTCTTTTCAGTGAAATTCATTTCGCGGGTTCTTGAGCGCCTCGCGAAATAGTAAATTTTTATGATCGTATAAGCCGTTATGTAACTTTAAATCGTCTTTGCAATTTTCCGCTAGTCGAGAAAATTACATCAACATGCAATTCAATGAGGTAGAGAGAAATAATCATAATGAAACAAAGTTATATCTCTTTGCATTTCTAGATAACTTTGTTAATATGTGAAAGGCATTCTCTTTATTAGAATGTGGTATCAATAGAGTAATACTTTATAAGACACAGAAGCAGAGAAACGTTACAAAGTTGACTAACGAGAGACGTGTGATCAATATTTGACAAAACGAAACACGCGTGGTTCGTTAAACAATTCGTTAACGAGTTTCTATACACCTTTTATTTTCGGCAAACAATATTTCGTTATACCTAGGGTTGATCACAAATTCAATTGAACTGTTTTCGCGTGTAGTATATGTTCTTAAAAAAAAGACAGTTTGAGATTTGTAATGATTATCCTACAATTATTTTAATAGATTAATACTAAAAATAATTTTATTATTCCTCGCTTTATTAGTCTTCCAACATAACTCTTCATGTGCATTTTAATTAAGCATTAAATTATGCTTTTCATTAATTCACATATTTATATTAAATTATATATCGATAAGTTTAAATTAAAAGATTACCACTTTCAATCAAAAGCAAATTTAATCGGCTAGATAAATTCACATTTTATATTTTTAAAGACGACGATTTTACAGAAGAATCGATTGATCGGTCATGTGACAAGTAGTTCATAAAATTTAGATAGTATCAAGATTGCTATCCGAATTAATTAAAACTGAATTCACTTTGTTCAATAAATCTTTCAGCTAAATTAGAAGGAGTAATTCAATACTTATGCATGAAATTAATCCTTCAATAAATTAAAGATTTATTATTTGGTAACTGATGCTATTAAATTTGTTATATTAAAAATCTGATTAATAGTTTACGGTATCCGTTGTACGCTTATTACTTAGAGCCTTTCTAATATTACAGTTAGAAAGTATCATCGAAAACAGAAAATTAATCAATTGTTTAATAATATTGCAGAATAATAAATTTCTGTAACTTACAATATCTTTTTCAGAATGATTGCTCACGCTCTCAAAGAAATTTATTTCAGCTAAAATATTCTTTATATTACCATAAGCTGAAAAATTTTGCGAGTAAAATTTTAAATTGTACAGCGGATTTATATCATTCTACTTTTAATAGGGTGTCTTTACTTTGCTGAAGTTAATTTAACTCAATGTCATGCATGTGCGAATATTCTGAAATGTACATATATGAGTTCATTTTTTCACAATAAACGTGAAAAGCTTTTACAGAAACAGAAAATGAAATTCATGCATTCTGGTGCACTGAAATATTAATCTATCAAACTGCTTATTTAATTAATAATTTTTTATTATATATATTATGATTATATGAATTATAATTTTTTATTAAATTTGTATATTATTTAAAAAATTATTGCATGTCATATATTTCTCTGTAATTACAACGATAGAGATATAAAAAGCGCTGATAGCCAAAAGATGAAAAAAACTCTTACACGTTTCTTTAAATAATAAGAGAGATCTTCTGTCTACTACTAAACTCACGTACATTACTAAATATTGAGAGACCTCAAATAAATTCATTCTTTCTAATAATTATTTTCACTTTTATTCAATACCGTCAAGTCTGAGAAAAGTATTTGATATCTTTATAAATTGAATCAGTCTTCTCAATACAATGGAAATATCCTCTAACACAATGGATCTCCGCGTATAAAGGGTTGAACCGCAAAGAGGCAAGTTAATCACCTTCGTGAAATTAACCGAAGCAGAGCATGCCCAGCA